CTAACCCTAACCCTAACCCTAACCCTAACCCTAACCCTAACCCTAACCCTAACCCTAACCCTAACCCTAACCCTAACCCTAACCCTAACCCTAACCCTAACCCTAACCATTTTTAACATATATAACTATATTATCTTACTATAATCTTATATCCTATTAAGGACTGGACTTGCGGAAGAATATGGATTTAATAAAGAATGCAAGGAAAAGAATTATAAATACTATAATAAGCTATGCTGTGGATTACATGTATATAATAAAATTAACGAATAGCATAATAACCTACAAATATATTATTAACCCACTGAATATTAGAAAACTTACTTTCTGGACTATAAGAAATAATATTATAAAAAATATGTGATAGAATAATAATAATACTACTAAGTAATAAGGAAGCTAAGGTTAAAAGGTTATAACCTAGAAAGTTACTATAAAACCTAAGAAGAATGCAAAAGACTTATTAAAAGATACTACTATATAATCTAAGAATAAAACCAAGAGTTAAAATGCTAATAGTACGCAAAATACTAGATTATTACCTAGGATTAAACCTATTTAAATAGCATCTAGATTAACTTAATTAGATGTAATAATAAGAAATTATTAGTTAAAGGGTATATTAACTAATATCTAGTAATAACTTATATGGATAATAGTACGGATTATAACCTTATTACTCCTTAAATAGTAAAACTACTTAAACTACTATGCGCTAAGAAAAAATAACCTATATATATGTTTAGTATTACTATACCTTATGCTAAGATAATAATTAATTATAAAACTAATTATCTCCTAATTATAATTACTAATTATACTAAGACTATTAAGTTTAATATTATACCTCTTTATAATTGCAATATTTTACTTAAACACCTATAGTTAGAATAAGGTAACCTACTAATTAACTGGAAAATAAAATAAATACTTTAGGAAGAAGATATTACCTAGGAGCTGTAACTAAGCTATAGAGAGGGCAAGAAAGGTAAAGATGCGCCTATAGACCTAAAAATAAAATCTTATGCGTAATAAAATTAAAAAAAGTTAAAAAAAATAGAAGAAAGAATAAAACCTAAGAGAAAGGTTAAATTTAATATAGAAAAATCACTAGTATTACTATAGTATAACCATAAAAGAGTTAAAGGAGAATAAGTATATATTAACTAAGTTATTATATAAGTTAAAACAGAATTATAAGCTCTAGATAAAGTATTATTAAAAGTAAAAGAAAAAAAGAAAAACAGAAAACTAAAAGACATTCTTTAAAAAGCACCTTAATAATACTAAAGGAAATATAAGAAACTGTTTAGTTTAATATTAGAAATAGTATAACTACTTTACTTATAATAGGATTACTGTATAAATCTTATAAATAGGAAAATAATAAAGTTCTTTTTAATTTATAACCTTAGTAAAGTAAAACTTAAAACACTTTAGGAATAGCTATAAGAATAACTAGAAAAAGGATATATTAGACTATTTACTTTATAAGCTAAATACCCTATTATATTTATACTAAAGAAAAATAAGAAACTTAAACTAGTTATTAATTACTAACAGCTAAATAAGATTACTATTAAAGATTAAACCCTATTACTATTAATTATAGAAATTTAAGACTGCTTAACTAGTGTAAATTAGTTTACTGCCTTAGATCTTAAGGGAGTGTATAACCTAATTTGCATTTATAAAAGGGATAAATAGAAAATAGCATTTAAAATATACTATAGATTATTTAAATGCTTAGTAATGCTATTTAGGTTAACTAATGCATTTATGATATTCTAATAAATAATTAACTATATGCTATAAGTATATATTAATAACTTTATAATTATATATCTTAATAATATTCTTATCTTCTTAAAAACCCTTAAAGAACACAAGGAACACATCCATAAGGTATTATAAACACTATAAAACGCTAATCTCTTAGTAAAACTGGAAAAATACTATTTTTATATTTAAGAAGTTAAGTTCCTAGGACACTTAATCTTACTAGGATAAGTCTAAATAGACCCCGATAAGCTTAAAGTAATTTAAGACTAGGAATTTCTAGAAATAAGAAAAGGAATATAAAGCTTTTTAAGTTTAGTAAATTATTATTAATAATTTATTAGAAACTATAGTAAGATTGCTAAGCTACTTATTAATGCTACTTAACTTAAAGAAAATAAAAAAGGCAAGAAGAAACTAAAAGATAAGAAACTTACATATAAACTAGAAATAAAAACAGTATTTAAATAACTTAAAAACACACTCCTTAGTGAACCTATACTTATTATATATAATCTTAATAAACTATTAGAGATTAAAACTAACTTATTAAACTTTGCTATTAGGGGAGTACTAATTTAAAAAGACAAAAATAGGAAAAATTATCTAGTAGTATTCTTTTCTTAAAAACTATATAGACTAGAATTAAGATATCTTATTTATAATAAAGAATTTATAGTAATTCTTAAAGTATTTAAAGAATAAAAACACTATTGTTTAAGAAGTAAATATAAAGTTAAAGTACACATGGATTATTATAATATTATATACTTTACTTAAATATAAAAACTCTTTGTATAATAAATATAATATCTTAAGACACTCTTAGACTTTAATTATAAACTTGCTTATGTTAATAGCACTGCTAATAGATAAGTAAATATATTAAGTAGAAAAAAAGAATATTTTAAAGAAATTCTAGAAATTAAAGCCCAAGTACTAAGAAAAAATAGTAATAGTAATTATAAATAAATATAAATTAACACTTTATTTATTATAAAAGAATATAATCTTATTTTTAATAAAATAAGGGAATATATATTAAATATGGAACTAGATAAACTTTTAAAAAAAGTAATTATTAAAAAAGGCTTATTAAAATAAAAAAGGAAAATCTAGGTACTACTAGAATTGCAATTAAAAGTAATTTAAGATTTATATTATAGTATAATTACAGTAGCATACTATAGTATTAGAATAATATAGAATTATATAGTATATTATTATAAATTCCTAGGGATAAAAAATAAAATCTTGGAAGTTATTAAGAAATATAATATATATAAGAAAATAAAAGATAAGAGGTATTAGCTATATGAAATATTGTAACTAATTCTAGTTCCGGAAAGGAATTAGCATACTATTATATTTAACTATATTACTAACTTGCTTAAGTTAAAAGATTTATTAATAGGAAAGCACTTTAATAGTATCTTTATTATTATAAATAAACTCTTTAAATAAGCATATTTTCTACTATATAAGAAGGTGCATAATACTAAAAACTTAGCGCATCTTTATATAAGATATATATTTGCTAAATATAAAATGCTAAAAGAAATTATATTAAATAAAGGAAGTACCTTTATATTTAAATTTTAGCAAGAACTAATAGCTAAACTTAGAACCTATTATAAGTTAAGTATAGCGTTTTACCTATAGATAGATAGATAAATAGAACAGATAAACTAAGTTATTAAAGTATACTTATAATATTATATTAATCTCTAGTAAGACAACTAGGTTAAGATGCTATTAGTTGTATAAATGTAATATAATAGCTTTATAATAGAAACCACAGGAGTTATACTGTTTTACACTAACTATGGGTTTACACTAGAAGCCTATAGACCACCCTATGATAAACTAAATGCGGATAATATGCATATTTTTGTAAAAAATATAATTTAATTATAGGAAGAACTTAAAGTTTAACTTAAATTCTTTAGATAACGCTTAAAAGAATATATAAACTGTATAAGGATTAAGGGACTAACCCTTTAAGAGGGAGATATAGTCTACCTATTATAACACTTATGTAATAAAAAATTGCTAAATATTAGAATAAATAAGCTAAGTAATAAATTAAACTTTAGAAAACTTAAACCTTTTAGAATCTTAAAGAAAATTAGTAAAGTTAACTATAAATTAGACTTACCTAATAATATGCAGCTTAAAATAGCTGTCTTTTATATATTACTACTTGAAAAAGCACTAGTGGATAAAGAGATAGGTAAACTAATTATAAATAAAATTATTATCTAAGATATTAAGAAAGAATATGAAATTAAAAAACTAACTTATATATAAATAAATAAAATAATAGGAGAAAAAGAGTACCTTGTTAAATAGAAAGGATATAATAATAATAAGAACTCTTAGGTCCTAGAGTAAGAACTTAAGAGGAATGCCTAAATAATTCTATGGGAATTTCATTAGTCTTTAGGGGTGGAAATAACAACAGGTCTAGTTTAAACTTAAACTAATTAATAGTATTAATAGACTAGGATAAGCCGGCCTTGGAATTAGGTGCTAGTAGGGCAGCTTAATAAGCGGCCTTTAACTCCTCCCGCTTAACCTTATTTAACTTATCTAGATTATTAAGACCCTAACTAATAGCATAAATCATCTTTTAATACTATAACTTCTTTTACTTACAAAGGTGTTTAACCTTCTTACTAGTCTTTTAAAGACACTCTAACTTTAATTTATACTCCTCTTCTACAGCTTTAATAGCCTCTTTTAAACGGATATGCTAAAGAGCAACTTTTTAGAATTAAGCAGTAGATAATTGCTTTATGTTATAAAAAGACTTCTAACCCTTAACATAGGTAGAATAATAAGATAATTTACCCTTAGTAAAGAAATAGTTAAATCTAGAAGATTTATAAGTAGAGTATTTGTTTATTTTAACTAAATAAGATAAAACTAATAAAAATAAATTTTTATATGTCTTTTGCTTTTTGGATCTTAGCTTTAGATAAACTAGTATAATAAGAATTAGTAAAAGAATAAGTACTTTATAAGAAAATAAAGAAAAGAACTTACTAAGAAGGAAGTAAGTTACTTATACCTAAAACAGTTAGGTCTTAAGGACAAGACTAACAGGAGGGGGATATTGTGTTATAACCTAACTCTTATAGTTGCAACTATAGGCTAACCCACTAGGATCCACTGGATTAACTAAGGACTAATTAATTAATTAGGTCCAACTTGTTTAACTTAATAAATAAGCTTAATAAGCTATAACTTGTATAACTTGTTTTATAAGCCTTATAAGCCTAGAACTAACTGGGTATATAAGTTCACTTTTTTACACTTATTTAGATAACTTAAATAGCTAGTTGTTAACATAGAATTAAGATTGCAACACGCTTTACACTTCCACCATCTGGTGATATTGTTTACTATTGCCTATATTGCTTATTAAGTTTCCTAACTGCTCTGCTAACATAAACCCAGAATCATTTACTAGGTTTGTCCCTTGGGAATCTACCCTATACTAACTATCTAGTGTACGGTTTGTCATATTATTACACTAAGATTATAACATACTTTATAGCCTACTCTTTAAGTAATATTATTTGCTATTTACTATTGCCTATAGATCTCCTAACTAATTTGTTAATATAAACTATAAACTAGGTTTATCCCTTGGGAATCTCACAAGCTACTAACTATTTAGGATATTAGTAACTCAGGTTGTTACACAAGACCCAGAGCTATACTATAGCTCCAGGTCAAATAAGTAATAAAGTTATTATATAATATTTAAAAAAAGTTTAAATATTTTTTAAAAAAGCTAGAAAAAATATTAAAATTATATAAAAAAAATATATATTTTTTATAATTTATATTTTTTATAATTCATATACAAAATACAAAAAATTTTTGTACTACAAAAATACAAAATTCGTAGTAGCTACAAATTCGCAACCCTGCCTAGAGCTATGCCCCCTGTGGCACAGGGTGGTCCAAGCGCAGGACCCAGAGCTGTGGCACAGCTCCAGGTATAATATTACTGTCTTCTATTAGTCTCCAGTCTCCCACATTGTTATCTCATAGCTAAAGAAACCAAAAAGTTAGCGAATATTCCAGGATGGCATCCGAGACCTTCTTAGTACCAGTACCACTGGAAAGACTACCTCTTCATCTTTTAGAGGGCATCTGTTTCTGGCTCAGTCCGTCCAACGGCGGCAGCCTGCCCTCCTTCTCGCTGGCGAATCGGCAATGTGCCAATGCGGCCATCAAGTTCCGTCTCCGGAATATCCATCTCCAGATCGGCGGAGAGATATCAGACGAAGATTTCACGTTTATGGACAAGGTACCAGATATGGATACCCGCCTTGGTTTTGTTCGCAGTCTTAGGATTGGCGGTTCCCAAGACTTTGAAGATGACGCAGAAAACTTCTTTGTGAGACCTCGTCCTTTTCGTCCCTCACCCAAAGGAGGAAGCTCCATTCCCTACACGCCACCATTGCCAGAGGAGGCACTACAGTTCAAGGCTAGATATAAGGAAAATTGGGCCCGAGCAGCAAGATTCATCAGTCGGTTGAGTTGTTTATCTGATCTTATATATGAATGCAGTGCCCAGGTACCGATGTGCGTGCTCTCAGCGCTGCGCGATCATTGCCCAGATGCCAGACTACATGTTTATAGATTTAGCCTCGATAGTCTCTACCAGCCAAGAGACAAATATCACGATATTTCGCCAGAGGAGTATGCGCTCGCTACGTCGCCGAATATCTATGGACTTTATCTAAAATATTGCTCTTATACTGATAAGGGACATATCGGCTACAATGAAGAAGCCGTAATACAGATGGCAAGAGGTTTAGCGCCAAGGCTATCATATGTGTACATGGCTAGTAGAGGGCAAGGTGGCACTATTCAGTTGTCCCAAGCCTACAAGTTACACCGGCATTCCGGTAAGCCAGAATGGAAGGGATTCTACATCAATGACGGCCAAGCAAGCGATATGGTACATGGTCGGGGAAGTTTACACACCCTTTACTTTGAAGTAACTTCAAAGCTACGCATTCATCAGTGGTGTGGCTATACCGACTTCAGCAAGCTAACAAAACTGCACCTGGGAGATACTGCGATTGATGCAGTACAAGTCCTAGCTACTATTGGAGAGGGTGGTGGACTTTCTTCCCTTTCCTCTCTCGCTTTGAACCCTGACGCAAAGAATGGGGAACAAGCAATTGCTGCTGACGGGTTCGTAAGTCGGTTATTGCGAGCTATCAAACCGCAGCAGTGCCTGGAATTGGGGAAAAAGATTGGAGATGGTGCCTGGCGAGCAGTGACTGATCATCACGGCAGCTCTCTTCGGGAGCTTCGTTTTGTCCCAGCTCGGCGATCTGATGGTACTGATGCCGATTCTTTTGTGCTCTCCTGTGATAAGATACGACTACTTTCACAAAACTGTTCACGCCTAGAGAAGCTGGAGCTACGTGTATTCCGAAGTCGTGGTGATGAAGACGAAGTTGACATCTATCGAAGTCTTGGCCGGCTTCCACGATTGAAACGCATCTCTCTAATCCTCGAGTGCTCTGTCATCAGTTATCCTGATGTAAGGCCCGGAGAACCATTTATTGACATGGGTGGCTGGGAGATCCCCGTTAGCATTTACCGCGCAGCGCTCATTAATAACGCCGTGGATTCGGTCCTTGCTCAATCCATCTTCGAGACGATGGCTACAACGAGGGCGCACGCTGGCGGCTGTTCTCTGGTCACCCTCAAACTAAAAATCGATGGCGCTTGCCATTTTGGGCTGATCATGGCCGATAGTGAAACGAGGATCCCTCTGGAATGGGTCGGACAGAGCTGGCTTGTTAGAAGAGATTCTCCAGACGGAGACATAGTTGTTCAAAACATTAACTCTCTTGTTGATGATATGGATGTGTTGAAGGATGATTTTCCTGAGCGTGATGATCTAAAAGCCGTCTGGGTAGACGTATGGCCAGGAAGCCCTAGTGATCGAAGGAATCAGTGGCATAGCTTCCCTCTAGTTGGATCAACAAATTGAAAAGAGGTATTTATGTAAACTCTAGTAAATACAAAATATATGAGCTGGCCTATGGAACCGGGAAAACAAGAAATTACAACTATACTAGATCAATGAAGTAAGCCCTGGGCCAATTGCAAGCCATTCATCTACAAAATCGAATATTCCTGATCTTGCATATAAGAAAGAAACCCGTATGTATGGTAAACTCTCCCCAAATCCATCAGTTTGCGTCTCTCTTGGTTTAGTAATAATCGAATCACGAATCCGCATCTCATCAAGAGGAACAGATGTGCAAGCATTGGGAAGCTCTTCTTTGTCAAATGCCTCAAGGCTAATGCTATGCTCCAGTTCTATAACGCGTCGACCGGTTGCAGACATGGCCGAGAGATCCCATAAATTTTCTTGGCACGTTGCAAGATAAATCATCGAATGGAAGGCCCTGCGTCGAATACCCAAATCTCGGCACTTGATTACCACTAGATACAAGACAGGCATATAGCCCATCCCAAAGGTAAACTTGGACTTCGAGTGCAAGGCTTGTACAGGAGGGAGCATCGAGATAATGTCTTCTGCAGCATCTACGACTGCCTTGAAGGATGCCAGTTGGTCATCATAACCCATTTCTGTCTTGTCAAGGGCGCTTGCCACCCATATCTTGGAGACAAGGCCTTTCATGAGTGTTCCCAAGTACGCGGCTTTAGTGTCATGGCAAGTAGGCGGGTACGTTTCTCTGAAGACGGAGAAGTCAAGAAGCCATTGATTCAGCGCAGCAAGTATGTCGAACTGTTCTTTATAAAGATTATCGGGAAAATCTATGCTGTACATGATTCCTTGTCTGTATGTGTCGCTGGAGCGTATGAATCGGACGGACCGTGCCTGGAGGAGGTCTAAAGCAAAGAGGCCTTCTTCAAGTGTAGTATATGGAGCTGTAGTACCAATCACCAGATCGCTTAGAGAAGGAAACGTGGTGATAGTGCGACCAAAAAAGAAGGGGAAAATGCTTAGTCGGACAAGCATAGGTGTAAGTTTCTCACGAACCCAGGGTGTCATGATTGCGGTATTCAAGATCGATATGCCATGTCGGCAGTGTTCGATGGCGGCGGGTGCATTCTTCTGCAAGATCTCTACGCATACGAAAAGAATGCACAAGAATAGCATTGTGAACTCAGTGTTTGACTTGCTAGTGAGGCGTGACAGGGCCTGGTTGTAATGGCCTAGGGCAAATCGACCGCCAGTGTAGTCAAGGGCATCCAACCGACCATTCCTGAGCTGCTCGTAGATGGAGCTAATAGCGATTACTGCATGACGAACAGCGGGCTCTTGCTGGTAAACCATTGGGACGAGGCGTGTCCAGAATTCCTTATCATAGTAATTCGATATGCTCGGAGCAGCCACATGCAGAAAAAAGTCAAAGGCTCTACCTTCCCGATTGCTGCGACCAGTTCTCGGAGTAGGGATAATGGCACTTGAACTTAGAAGCTCATCCCAAGAACAGGCCCCGTACACCTCGGGGGGGTAGCCATCACAATTTCTCCGAGTACTCGTGCACCTCAAACAGTGAGGCTTAGTTTCATCGCATTTGACCTTTCGTATCCTTGTATAAGACATTAGTCAATGGCTCGTGTTACAGTATTGCTTTCTGAGTATACGCAAGCAATCAGACGTACTTGCATGTAAAACATCCTGTCTTGACTTTTTGCAATCCTTTCCTAGGCATCTCAATGGTTGAATGAAGAGACAGAGCCGATTGAACAAGTGGGGCGGATCCGAAGCACCATATGAAATGTTTTGGTAACGTCAAGCGTGTCAACCAGGCAGGCTATGCAGTGGGCTGGACAAGACTTTTAATTGCAAAAGCCCCTATGCTTAGCAAAATATGTACAGCTCAGCCATGGCTAGTAAGCACTATGTCTGTTTTAGTTACATTGGAGAGTGTAGATCTTGTGAGAAAGTGGGGCAAGTCCGAGTTAGTTGATACCTGTAGGGCATTTAAACAAGGGTTACTTCATGCTAATTGTCAAGCTTAAGCTTATCTCGGAAGCGGCTTACTATAGCAAGAGAACTTCAATAATAACTAAGTTGGTATCTTGGACTGTAACAACACTTTATCGAAATGCATAACAAGTTCATCTTGTATTCCGGTTTACATCAATAGCTATTGAATCTATTTTGATATGGAATAAGCTTCATTGAGTGTAAAGTAAATACTTCTTATTAGCAAACAAGAAAGTTATTACATGTTGTGTTCTGCCAACAACAGACAAAGTAAGCCAAAGAAGCAAGAACAAGAATCAAGTGTTACATATTAACTTTACAAGCTTGGCTATGGACAAGGCATAAGACACATAGCCGCTTCCTTTGTTACCGATTCTGCCCACATAGCCGCCCCCTATCCAAGATTATTATAGAAACTGCTAGGACAGCTTTCTCTAAAACAGATGATCCCTGTTGCAAGAATTTGTTATAAGATAGGTCTCTCCTCTTGAGATTTGCAGTACTCAATTCACTTCCTATACATCTCATTGCTTACTTTCTCCAGCGCATCTGAGCTATTTCACATACCATGTATCTTGATACAGCATTCGGCCTTGGGCTGTTTCTTCTGTCGCCGCTTGCATCAGCTGTATTGCTTCCGCCAACTCCTGAGGGTTTGATAACCATCCCGAGTCGCTCATTCCCTGGCATATCCATCTCCTATAAGCAGGTAAGCTTCCATATCTCAAAACTGTCTCTATTCACTATTGCTAACACGAAAGCCTGAACAGACTCAGATCTGCGAAACAACTCCAGACGTTAAAGCTTTTAGTGGATATATTAACCTCCCTCCTAATCTCATTCCGGGTCAAAATTATCCTATCCACTCCTTTTTCTGGTTCTTTGAGGCGCGAAGTAATCACCCTGAGAATGCGCCCCTCTCCCTTTGGCTGCAGGGTGGACCAGGTTCACCGTCAGTCGCAGCAGCATTAGGTGAAAATGGTCCATGTTCTGTCCTTTCTGACTCGAAGAGGACAATGCTGAACCCGTGGTCGTGGAATAATGACGCCAATATGCTATATCTAGATCAACCGGTCCAGGTTGGCTTCTCGTATGACTCGCTTGTCAACGGTACTATTAATGAGCCGCAGTCGCCTTTCACGGTTACTGCAAAGAATCTCTCTCTCGCAGATTTCTCTCAAGACACACTAACCGCCGTTCCAGGGACATTTGCGTCCCAGAACGTTGCCTCTACAGCCAATACAACTTTCATTGCTGCACGAGCGAGCTGGTATTTTCTGCAGACGTGGATACAAGAGTGAGAATCCCATTTCCCAACTGTTACCAGTAATAACCGTCTGACACAGCGTGACAGGTTTCCTGAATATAAGCCAAAGCACAACCGTCTGAGCCTCTGGGGAGAGTCGTATGGTGGCCACTACGTTCCCACCTTGGCTGGCTATATTGCCTCTCAGAATGAGCTTATTGCTACCAAGAATGTCAAAACGGCAGCCGCTGTCCCATTGCACATCGATGTCGTCGGTTTGGTCAACGCTTGTATAGATAACAGCATTCAGACGCCTCTATACCCGGTCTTTGCATATGATAATACCTATGGGCTACAGCTTATCAACAATACCGAATACCAGGCCGCTCTAGCCGCTGTGCCTCAGTGTCTCAATCTGACTGACAGTTGCCGAGAGCTGGCTGAGGAGCTGGACCCAGAGGGTTGGGGAAATGATAAGAGAGTTAACCAAGCTTGTGAGGCTGCATATAAGTTCTGTTTTGGACCAACGCTGCAGCCCTTTAACTCCAAAGGGGTAAGAATATATATATATAAACTCACCCACTCTAGCGAACGCAAATTGCTAACAGGTGGTAGCATGACTTGTTTGACTTCACTCAGTTGACGCCAGACTCATTCCCGCCAAAGTTCGCCGCAGGTTATCTAAACTCGCGCCAGGTGCAGCTCGCGCTGGGCGTGCCGCTTAATTTCACAGGCCTTTCGACTGCTGTGGCCCAGGCATTTGTAGAGACAGGCGACTTCATCCGGGGGCATAATCTCGAGCTCCTTGGAGATCTGCTCAATAGCGGTGTTAGGGTCGCGCTTGTCTATGGTGATAGGGACTATCAGTGCAACTGTCAGTCTATTTCTATTCAACATCATTGATTGTGAAGAAGCATTCTGCTAACAGAATCCGCTTTCTCTCAGGGCTCGGCGGTGAACAAATTAGCTTGGCTATCCAATCATCGTCATCTGCGGGTTTCCGCGCCGCAGGGTATGCCAGCATCAGCACCAATGACAGCTACATTGGCGGCGTGGTGCGCCAGCACGGCAATCTGTCGTTTTCGCGAGTCTTTGATGCAGGGCACCAGGGTATGCTTCGACCTCTCTTTTCTTTGTCCCCTCCGCACCAAGTATATTGCACTGGCTAATGTATTCTCTTCCTTCTAGTCCCGTACTACCAGCCTGAGACGGCCTACCGTATCTTCTCACGCGCTATGGCTGGCGCTGACATCGCGACAGGACAGATTCTCACCGAGGCCAACTACTCTACCGCAGGGCCTAGCAGCAGCTTCTGCATTAAAAATACAGTGCCGCAACCGCCAAAACCGCTGTGCTATACGTGGGATGTTCTGGAAACTTGCACGCCACCTCAAGCAGCGCTACTAGCTAACGGGACAGCTATTGTACGGGACTTCATTATGGTGGGATATGTGCTCCCGAACGGGACTGAGGTTATATACTAAGAAAGAGAGACAGTTCTGATTTTCTCTCTTTGTATTCGCAGGACTTGATCAATTTCTTTCCTGTTTAGTTAGTTTATTTTATTTATTTCCCCAGCTATTAATATTATTGTCTTTTGTGGCACGTATACTTTCAGCCAGTTGTTTAGCTCGTAGGAAGCGACACGCATTGTAACGCGCGTCAAGCGTCTCCCGGCCTAGATGCGGGAAAGTTTCGCCCCCACTCCGAGCTCCGACTGTATCTAGTCCGATACACCGAACATACACGGCCTCATGAGTCCGGAGGTTTCCCACACAGCCCCTGCATTAAGTATAAATGAGTGCCTACGCTCTGCTTCTCGAAAAGGGCCGATATACTATAAAATATCATTCAAAGCTTCAACTACAAGACCTACCCTTCGAATTGAACTATAATTAACATGGCCATGCCTGCGACACAACTGCCTTCATATTGGGAGCAAGCAGAGCTCACGGTTTCCTCAAACGATGCCAAAGACTTTCTTTCAGTATACTCGGAATGCTCAACTGCTCACACGGTGCCAAGATCGCTTGACCAATCACCACGAATGAAGCTACACAGCATTAAATCAGCCATCTGGTCCTTCATGAAAGGTAAGCTTAGCTTCGTCTTCATAACCCCTCTACTACAAGAAATTTTACCAATTCCATAGTAGGTGATATTTACTACAAACACCATCCAGCTTTCACACGGGATAGATACTTCAACGCCATGATGAAGGACCAGAGAATGAACAGCTCATCGTTAGGGTCATGAAATGCTGGGTGGCATGGAGAACTAGGAAATGAGCGATCGGAGGCGGTATAGCGAGCAACAGCCGGCGAGAGACGTACGAAGAGACAATACATTTATTTGTTCAAGTAAGGAGTATAGCCTCGTGGTTCAAACTATTCCGAGACGAATGTTCCAATGTAGCAACTGTGGGTAGACAGATCTTCTTCCAAGTCTGCCAAGTCACATCCAACTCTGTGGCTGCCTTTCTCATCTGCTTTTCCTACGGCACCATCCATATAGCCTGTATTCGTGTTTTTAATCCTTGGACGGAGCAAATTGAGTAGATCCCAAGATTATACCCGCTCCTTTGCGTAATTAAGCAGCCTCAATCATAATATAACTCTTCCGGTAGCTCAATCGTAATCCTGTAAATACCCAAGTTTGGTGCTGGTAATGTTATAGATTCGTTTTGTACTTGGAAGCAAGCGGCCCGCATTTAGCGTTTGTTCATTACCATATTTCTGATACATTGAGATGCTCGATTCAATTGATAATTGCTTATGATAGCCGCGGGCGCTGTATCACAGCTGTTGGCACTATCCTCATTGATATCACGGAACTTCCGAAGTTGAAATGTTAGATTCGAGCCACAGGTCTCCTTGTAAGCCCAGTGAGTCGAGCCACACCAGCCACTCGGAATCTTGGGCAGATTCACTAAGAATCTCTGGACTTGTAGAACTTGTGAGCTCGTTTTGATGCTCGTATTGACGCATCGTCAGCCCTTCAGACTTATCTCTGTGAATAGGCTCGGTATGGTTGAGGATTGAATCAAGACTTTTGGAAAAGATCGACTGAGCCTGCTTGCAGATTTGATAGTTGCTTTGCCCAAACTCGGCCCAAGAATCACAACATGTTATCAAGACGCTGATATCTTGGATTACGCTGCTTCTATCGAAGTTATGCCTTTCCACAGGATGTTGACTTTGTCGCAGAAGCTCCAGGACCAGAACGCTAGCACAGGGCATGGCATAGAAAACTAGCTGCATTATCTGTAAGTATCCGAAACTTGAGCTGGTTCAAGTTTTTTGTTGAAACCTTTGCCACTTACAGCCCATTCATGATCTGCCCTGTGACTATGCAGAAGGCCCCTTTTCCGGGTCGGTAAGAGAACAGTTTTGAGAATCTCGTGCGCAGTTTTTAACACACTCTCGCGACTCATTTCGCTGAAACTGGCAAGAAGATTATGCAAAAGAAACTCCGTGTAGAGATAATCCAGTCGTAGGAAGTGTAGTATTGTAATAGCCCTTGTTTGGCCTGCCCACTGCTGCGCTGTGTCGTATTTCAAATGTGACGGAACTGACTGCCAAGTGGACTTCAATTTCCGCAAGACGCGCCTGCATCTAGCGTTAGAATCGATTGACTTCGTATTAGTCGCATGACTTACCCTGCCTTTGCCTCCATGTTTGACGCTGCAGGCCCAAGTTTTAGCTCCAGAGCTTCTTCACGAATTATGCACAACAAAAGTCGTGCTCGCTCAACAGACACATGAAGTACGGCCTTATCCTTACTCCAACCATTGGCATCTAAATTCTGGCGAGCTTTGAGCAGCATTTCAGGTGTACCCATAAGAACAGAGTCTGCTATGTCAAGGGGCATTTCGACGAGACAAAAGTGACGACTAAGATGAACAGGCCTATAACCAGTCCACTGTCAGTAAAGATTATATGTGAATTGAACCTGGGTATAAGATCCTACCGCGACGTGAAACTAGCACACACTTTGTCGAGGTCATGGGCATGAGCGACCGCCCTTTTCCGAATCTCTGCCATGTAGAATGGCACAGAAGGATCATTCTGGACTCCTTTATACAAACCCAAGGCAAAAACGACTGACGACATGCTACCCACAAGCCGCAATGCATGGTACGAGTCGTCACCAAAGCACCATGTGGCGAGTAAGACTGTGAGCATAATGAACCAGAGAGTAAGATCGTTGATAGCTCCCATAGAGCCGCAAAACGATTCGCATTGGATACAAGCTTGGAAAGCCTTGTGCATCAAATTTTTGCGGTCGGTTTTCCATGTTTCAGGGGCGGACAGGCTGAAAGATTGATCCTTTTCTTCGCCAAGGTATATTCCGATGTGGGCACAGTACATGCCAATCATCTCCCAGCGCAAACCCTGGGTTGAGAATGCCGAGTCCAATGCACCAGAAGCCGCGGAAGGAGGAAAGACAGGAGGTAATGAGGTTCGCTCGAATATGGCTTCGGATATCGATGCTAGGTTCAGAGCCGAGCGATGATTTAACAGAGCTTGTATGCTGTTGTTCGTTGCGGTCCATACTGCCTTGACAAGAGGCCCATGAGTGCATGGCTCTGTCTCGGACATCGAGAAGCGTTTGAAAGGCTCGCCAATTTCAGTAACAAGTTCCAAAATATCGTTCAGTAATTTTGCTCCTTCGGAAATTGTTTGTTGATTAGGTGAAGAAGGCTGAGGTAAGGCGACACCAGTCCTTGTCAGGGCGGTATAAGAGGGTTGCGGGCGAGGAGTACTTGGATCAGCAAAGGACATCAAGTTCGTGTTCATATTGATGAGCTCGTAAGGACTTGAAGTTCCTGCGATAGACCTGGGAATCTCCGGTTGATCGGCCGTCTCCCGGTCGCTTTGAGGTGTGGCCTGTTTCGCTGTCGGAGCTGGGTGGTAGTGGCATTGTTGCTCTGGCCGGCGGCGGCGCGCACACCTCCCGCATATTGGTCGACTGTGATCGCATCGAAGTTTGGACTTGCGGCATGGCTCACATGCGGAAAGTTGCCCATTGCGTCGGACCCTATCAGTCATCATGAGTCGCTCTTTGCGTGAAAGGGTGAGGAAAGGTACTGGTCGCGTGAAGAGGACTAGCGGGGTCGGTCCGAAAAGCTCAGCTGGACGGACTCCGACCCTTGGTACTTTTAGCTAGGGCTTTGGTGGCCAGGTCCGAACTTAACAACGCCAGGTCCGAAGCCGATCAAGTTCAAGTTAATACAGCTGGCTAAGCAGACTTGTTTTTCCTTCTACAACATAAATTATCTCCGAGCGGCCCTGAATGATTTTATCTTTAAGCTCTTATCCTCCTCTAGTAATTAATAATACCTAAATATTTACTTTTGCTGACCACTTGTATGTTTTTAAGAAGGATTCTGCTTAGCTCATTAAAAATGTCCACCCTAAAGCTAAACGCAACATCCGAAATGTTCTCTGACAATTACCAAGTGACATAAATTACTTGATTAGCACTTTAGAATCAAGGCTTATTTTCCTTTTCCGTCTCTGTTGAAGAGTATGTGGCAGCCCCTGGTTATATTTGCTGACATTTAAGTTCGATGTTGGTTAAAAGTTAGACATGTGTAACCAACTTGGAGTTAGTGTGCGAATTGGCTTGGTCTTTTAGACATGTGTAGTAAGTGATCTTTGGTAGTATTCTTGAGTAGTTGCTGAGGATAAATCTGATACTAATCTTTGATGCCGAGTCTAAGTAAAGCCGAAATCTACAACACCCCTTCAATATCCATAGCCCAATAAAGTTTTTCATTAATTATCACCTTATGATTCAGACAAGCCATTTCTTGCGGCTACGTGGTTATCAGTGTTCATAGAGTAGCATGCGATGAAAAAAAAGCTACACTCATTGCATCTCCAGCTACACTCACTCATTGGAGCAGTACTTTTGATGTCATCTACTACAGGCTAGAAAGAAATATCCTGTAAGAAATCTGCCTGGTCCATGTCGAAGCCAAAAAGGGGATCGAAGTCGAAGTTCATATCCGTAAACAGGCTGTCAATTCCATGGTCAGTAGGCAAGGACGTAGGATTGGCCTGCTCACACGAGCCATCGTTGCTGAATGTCATAGCAATATCGGGATGAGAGGTCGTAGTTGTTGCTGAATCCGTCGTCGCCACTCCCACGACATTAATATTGTCTTGAGACCGAAGAGACTTCGGAGCAGCTTTATCAAGAGCATCTCTATTCAACTGGCATCCAGAATACATACCCAGCGCTCCACTGTCGTATTGTGAAGACGATTGGCCGTCATTATCGCGGGTACCGGTAAGCACACCTCCAACATTTACGTTTAGACGCCGCATCAAGTTGACTAAGATGACCATCGAACGTCTTGGTGCGTGACAAACTCTTTGATGTTCGGATAGTATCTCGAGACAGTTCTGGAGACGGTTATACGCTTCTGAAGCCGGAGGCTTTTCTGCCGCTATGCGTACATGAATCGTTGCGCTCACGTATGTTGCATATGATAGAAAATATGGCGGAGATTTTATACACCAGTATTTTTTGTAACGTCGAAGCACCGTATCAATGCGCGATGCAGCATTTTCGCAGAGGGAAGAGGCGTGATAGGTAGGCGAGCGTGTTGTGGACGAGAGGTGACCTTCGGAGACGAAAGGACGGTGAAGCAGGATGACCAACGCGTAAAACATTGACCTAATAACAGTCAGATATAAAAGAGAATTATAGGTAGATTAAGCAGGTACTGACACTAAAGATAGAGTATGCGGAAGAGCCATTGTGTCAGCCGTAGTCTTGTCATCGAATTGGATCTTCAAATGCTCGGGGGATGAGTCCCTCCATTGAATCAATTGAGCATGCAAAGCGAGAGACATTTCGTATAACTCGTCATTGTCTCTACGCAAGCTCTCCTCTGTGTACAAACTGGCGAGGATGCGATCAGCGATGGTGCTCAGCTTACACAGGTGCACAAATGTCGAGCCGCTGTGCATTGGTAAATCGAGTGTTTGAGCAACTTCAGAGTAGCCTATACTATTAGAAAGCTCAAGTTCTTCGTATTCGTCCAGGAAAAGCATGGGGACACTGCAGTCCATGTCACGGAGACGAGCTGGGCGCCCTTGGTAGATGGACTGAACTTTGTCCAAGACTGGGATTATATATCAGATGGAGCCTGCAAAAAAGTGAGAAGAAAGCCATACCAAAGGCGGACCAGAATACTCTGCGTCGTATCTCTATGTCTTCCGGCGAAAGCGACTTTTTAAACGAAAGTGGCGGGGTCTCAGAATGAATGCCTAGGTCGATCATCATATTCGTGGCAATACCCAAGTAGTGCCACGAAAGACTCCTCTCATCGCACCATGAAAACAGTGTATCCGACATGAGAAGCAGCGCTTGAATCGTTGGAATGCTACTCTTGCACAAAGTTTGTGTCCCACGACCAAACAATAAATCCTCAGCCTTTTGACGAAACCGACGACCATGATGACAAATGTCAGAGTCATCACATGTACCGCCTACCTCAGGCACATGCTTAGAAGCGTGAAAGAATATTGAGTATAAAAGTAGCGGAGAAAAATATGTTCCTTGGCAGGCCATGTCGCGCATGAAAGACGGTCGATAGATGATGGATCCGATAGCATGTTGGCGGTTCCAGAAGACTGAGAGTAGTCTCATGCCCAGAGACGGGTCGGTGTCTGCAAAAGATAATTTGTTCGAGCGGAGATTAATTGGTTCAAGTTGGCCTACGTTGAGTTAATGCGGCAATATTTTCGTGGGCATGAGTGCGACGAAGAGCGACTTACGCTGCTTGGCAGCCTCAGCTAATAGTTGCGTTTTTATGGAGACATCTACCTGGCTGGCTGCGGTTGCCTCTTTCGTAGCCGGATATTGCTCATCAAACATGGCGTTCGAGGACCTGTTAAAGTCTACCTTTCTCGATTCCCCAGCGTCAAGGCCATTCGAAGTACTATTGCGCCCTTGATCATGCAGCAATGGCGTGGAGGTGTCGGACTCCTTGGGTGACAGTATCCCAGAGCGCACAGGGTCTTTCGAACTAGGCATTTCCACGTGAGTCTGCTCCTCTCCGATCTGCCTCTGTTCAAGCGATCGTAAAGCTTCTGCCTCTTGACGTAGCCTCGCATTCTCCTCCTCTAATTGGCGAATCCGCAAATTTGAAGGTCCACGTCAAATCAGCAAATGTAGTTCAAGAGTTACTGGACTTGTAAAGCCAGAGGGTTGCCATATACCTTTCTTTCGTCACTCGTGTTGTATATTTACACTCTCTGCCATGCGTTGTGCAGTTTCTACAACTAGGCCTTGCATTATCGCAGCCCAGCTAGACTTATTAGACCTTGATGAAATATTAACGAGGAACGAGGTGTGTACCTTTCTGTATCTACAAAAATCGCAGGCCACGTCAGCTCGCTGTTTGCTCCTCTGGAGTCTGAGAGAGCCAGGATTCGACATGACTGGTATCTATACCAGCATGAAACTATGTGTTCAGTGAAATGAGACTCAAACTGAGTGGAACGCGACTGACGAGTGATATTGAGCAGGGAAAATGCAGGCAATGGAGCATCATGTTCCGTCGCAAAGTGGGTCTTGTGTGGGATTGACGCCTAACACGGTGAACCTTTCGTTATAACGATATCACTAGGCCGGGGGACTGGGCAACTGCTGCTTGACTCACAGCCCAGCGAGGGTGTAAGCCCCTAATGAGATGAATTTGCTGTTCACGGAATACTGGCCGCGCAGGTTACACATGGAGAGCATCTCGCTTGCGTGATTAATCCATTGATGCGCAAGTACACAAGATTCAGTTGTTAGACAATCGCCATATTGCCTCTGCCTAGCTATTGTTTTGTATTACTGTCCATTATGAATAACTTGGTAAACTTGGTAGCAGGGCGCCAGCAATGTTTTACACAATGAACTGTGAAATTTAATGAAAGTTCGATGTAAGATCAAATTGCCGATTGGCATTGTCAAAAAGCAAAAAAAAAAAGTTTTAATAAGCAACACTCAATCCAAGAAAGGACGCAGTGTCTCAGCCGACCGTCGCAATAACCCAGTATAGTACTCATCCGACAACACTCCCGACGCGTGGTCGAGAATGAATTGAAGTTGTCCTTTGGGCACTTCAATCTCCTCAGTTTCCAATTGTGTCGCGCCAAATTTTCCGATTGGTGTGCGATCAATTGGTGGCATACACTCTACCGCGAGAGCGCCATGATAATTTGCGTCCTTTAGCTCAGCCATTATCCTCTTCCAGTTAAAGTGGCCATCTCCAGCTGCAAGGCGGTTATGATCCGCAACATGGAAATCAACAATGCGATGCTTGGCCTTTTGTATTGCTCCATAGAGGTCTTTCTCTTCAAGCGCCAGGTGGAAAGGGTCGAAGGCAATACCACAGTCATACCCCACTGCATCTGCGAGGGCGAGCGCTTGGTCCACGCGATTAAGGAAGTATGTCTCAAATCTGTTCAAAGGCTCAATTCCGACTCGAATGCCCTTTTCCTTGGCCAGCTCGGCTACTTCACGCAGTCCTTCAACTACCCACTTCCATTCGTTTTCCGGTGTTGATGAAGGAACAAGCTTGCCAACGCGAGCCGGGACAATAGTGACAATTTGGCCTCCAAGTTCGGCAGCCATTGAGACAACGTCCTTCATATATTGGATGGTGTCTCTGCGATGTGCGGGATCGGCAGCGGTAAGGTCCCTGGTCCCATGTTGAAGAGTGACGGTACCCCAGCATTCGATATTGAATTCCCGCAAGAGCTGGCGAGTTTCTTCAACAGGGTAAAGGGAAGGCTCTCCCGCAAGCTCGATGCTCGTGTAGCCCAGCTCACTTATACGCTCCAGGGTGCGCCGAAGGGGTTCTGGGCGCATCCAAGTATGGGCGGAGAGATGCATAGTGAGTCTTTGAGTCAATTGATGGTCCAAATATAATGTTCAAAAATTTTTTATATTTCAAAAAAAAAAGCAGAACAGCCATATAATACTAGACTCTACCTTTATAGTCTTTGTTTTCTTGTGAGCGGGATAAGAGACGCCGTCGGGATGGAAGACGAACGGAAAGTGGAGATCCGTTTTGCTGAATGTTAGTAACCACTGATACCTTTGACGGATCTATGTCTTCCGCCAGCATATTTATATAAGAGTTGAATACCAAAACGACATACTCAACCAGTTGTTAATACTCAGTAATTACGACACAATACCCTCTAAACCTTTCTTTTCTACCTGTTACTCCTGTGCTTGTCCGTCAATACACACTCATCTCACAATGGCAGTCCAGTGGCAAGACGATTCCATATTTGAACACTTCACCATCTTCGAAGAGACGTAAGTCACAAGTATCTAGATTTTCCAACTATCTGACACAAAGCAGATTCAAGACTGTAGGCTCTCACAGTATAATGGCAGCTGTCTTCATCCCGAAAGGCCTGGCACCAGGCGTTCACCCTGCTATCTTCCATTTCCACGGAGGGTTTCTCGTGAACGCGCATTCTCTATTCGCCCCTTTCTTTCCGATATGGGTTCTCAAATTAGCGCTGGAAAACAAGGCCATACTGGTTTCACCAGATTATCGTCTTCTTCCGTCTGAAAATGGCGTCGCTGATGTCTTGGAAGATTTGGAAGACTTCTGGCAGTGGAGTCGCAGCGATAGCTTTGCCAAGATGTTGCAAATCCACTCTTCTGGTCACTCACTCGATAATACTCGTCTGCTTCTTACCGGTAGTTCAGCTGGCGGCTATGCCGTAATGCAGGTGGCAATGACGCACCCAGATGACATAGCGGCCGTGGCTACATCATATCCGTTTGTGAACCCTAAAGATCCAATCATGTTTTCTGGCCCCAGAGATGATGAACCGACTATCATGTGCGTGGCGCGAGAGGAAATGCCATCAAGGACGTCTGTTCTAGAGTGGATTGAAGAGACGAAATACACAGTGGCGACCAAGGCTGGTTTTGAACGGACACCGTTTGCGGTGGCGGCGGCACAGTACGGAATATACTACTCGAAAATATTTGATCCTTGCGGTCTGAATCGACTTGAATTTATTCCAACAGAGCGCTTGCGAGCTGGCGCAAGATTGCCAAAGAAAATGTGAGTAATCCAAGCTTAAAGGTCAATGATTGAGTTTTACTAAATATTCTCGTAGCTGGATATTGCACGGGAGCGCTGACAGTGTTGTACACCTGCGAACTACACAGGAATTTGTTGATTTGATTGAGGAGAAGCTGCCTGATACTACAGTGAGACTTGATATAGCCAGTGGGGAAGATCATGCCTTCGATCACTTAAAGACAAGTTGGGAGTTGCATGCGATTGGGGCTCTTGATTTTGTGAAACAGTCGTGGCTAGAAACATAGCTATTCTTAGCACTATTTGTATATAATAGTAAAAGTTATAATCAGATACCTATTTTGAGCAAAGCTACGAAATTGAATTACAGTCAGCTGGCGGCTTGATAACACGATGCCTGAAAGTATTATATTCTATCAAGGTTGCCTACTTTAACTTGTTGTATCAACAAGTAAGTTGACCAGTCTTTGCTAACTGGTTAGTTGGTTCGTTCTACACTAGGTTTGGCTTACATTACAGGTCTGTTATTGTAAGTTCAAGAGTTGAGTTGTAACAAGTTAAACAAGGGCTAGTTTTGTTAGGATTCTGTAGAGCGGATCCTGCGGTGGCTCTATAGCGTAAAGGTAAGAGTTAAGGATAAATGTATGACCAATAAGCATGATCCTTCGATATACCCCTGCCCTCCTTAAGCAGGTGCCTAAAGGCTTGGGTTACATAGGTGCAAACTACAAACAAGGGCTGTTAGTTGTTATGGAAGCGCTGTGGAACGCACTTGTAAGATCAGCATAGAAAACAACACTTAAATCCTATGCAAACTCCGTGTCCGCGCACCCGCATCCCTTGCACGCCTGCACCATACTTATACTAAGTTGTAGACAGTTTCCGGTTTAAGCCAAGTGCTATTTACAAAGGAATACGCATGGCCCGATTGGATACGCAGTGATCAGTCGAACAGACAATATATAAAGGACCAGCACCTGGGCGTGATGGCGTAAGAGATCTTCAACAATACACGCTGAATCTTGTATTCTGTGCAACAGGCCCCATCTATGGCGCCCAAATTGCGTGTTTGCGCGGTGCTCTTGGCCCTTCAATCCGTCTCTGTTCTACCCACTCAGGTCGGCGCACAAGATGTCATATCGCCATGGAAGGATACCGCAACAGGCTTCGGACCAGATGTTGGTCTCGCCAAGACCTGGAATGCATCCTTTCCGCTGTTTGAAGGCATAACATCTTCACCGACCAACAACAGCGGTGCGAGTGGCAACGACGGGGTCGACCTCAGTCGCAGAGCCGCCAAGGACTTCTGGCTTAGGGTCATGCCCCTAGGTGCCTCTATCACTCAGGGCATACATTCGTCAGACGACAACGGCTATAGGAAGTGGATACGAGAGCAGCTGCGCTGGGAGGGTTGGCAAGTAAACAGTGAGTGATTCATGGCCCCAACTGACAAATGCTAAGTTACTGACTTATGCTGGCTATAGTGGTGGGATCAGGGCAGATTGGGACAATGAAAGACAGGGTAACCTTTGACCTAGGAGAAGAGGCCATCCTCCTCCTCCTTTGCCGCTACTTCCACTACTCACTATAGCACGATTATGCTGACTTTTGCATATAGGATCACGAAGGGCATCCCGGCTGGATCATTACCGAAGGCGGAGGGCATAGTGGCGTACAACAGGCCTGGGACGCCGCAAAATGGATGAAGCCTAACCTGGTCCTACTCAATGTCGGTACCAATGACTGTAGTTTCAATGTTGACTTGCCAAATGCTGGGGCTCGAATGCAGACTCTGGTTCAGAGCATTTTCGACGCTGTACCTGGCGTTGTTGTTATCATGTCAACCCTGCTTCCAAGCCCTGCCATCACAGACTGCGCAAAAGATCTGAGCGCCCAGTTCCGCCAGATTGTGCCCAAGATCCAGAACGGCAGGCTAGCCATCGCCGACTTCAACGCCGCTATGGATGTAACGACCATGTTCTCGGACGACCCTATCCATCCGAACGACTATGGGTACGAGTTCATGGCCTCTGTCTGGTGGCAGGCCATCAATGAAACTTCTTCTGCCCTATCAGCGCCGTTGGATAATGGCCAAGACGATTCCCAACCCACTGAGACTTGTGCCAAACAGGCCGGTGTCTCGCGCGGGCCCATCACTACGCAAAATGGTTCTGGCCACGATGACGGCATCTACGTCCACAAGTCAACTAGCAAGGGCGTCTTAGTTGACGGCAGGATCCAAAAGCCCACAGACAAGAACGAGTCTGATGCTATCCCTTGGCACATTTTCTTTGCCCAACTGACCAATATCAACGGTGTCGACCGAAGCGCGGCCTTGGATGACTGGGTAGGCTGCCTTTTCCCTCCACGCTTCTTTTTCTAGGGCCCATTGTGCCATGTTTGGATCATGCTTGCTAACCGCAACAGATTCGCATTTACCACAAGTCCGCCACGGATGGTACGAACGAGTACTGGTTCCGCGAGAATCTCGGCAACGGCAGCTTCGCGTCATCGGTGATGATGGACGTTCAGCAGAATTGCGATGGAGGACCGAGTAAGTTGTATACAATGTCGACCTCATAGGTTGGTTTTTAGACTCCTACTGATATAGTCTGCTTGTCTGTTAGATTATGCGTGGGCCGATTTTGTTCGTGGACCCTTCCCCAAGCTGTGTGCTTTGAGACCGCTATTTATCATAACATCTTACTAACTGCTTTTGTCTGGCGCTCCAGGATAATGATGGACTTGGTGAGATCATCTGTTTCGTAGGGCTATTCGCTGAACCGGAGCTGTGCTAACCACTGTCCTCTTTACCTTAGCCGATTTTTGGTGCATTGGGTCGGGCACGCAAATAACAGTCTCCCTTAATAAGGGAACAAGACCTCCCACGGTGAGCCAGCTACTTATTAATCCTGGAGCGATGCTTCTTCGAGAAGATGCGAGCAGCTGCTGATAGGAGGCATATTGGCTATTAGTTCGAGAACATCGGCGTCGTCGTCCCGGCGAGTGGAAATTTTACGCCAGCAGACGTTCGGATTGCTGATATAGACGGCGACGGAAGGGCTGATGTCTGTTTCATCCACGATAACGGCGACATTGGCTGTTCCAGGAACGGAGGCCAGGGAAGGAACTATTATTGGCAAGGCTTCTCCACCGACAGCGGCCTGCGAGAGACTGTCTTTACTGGCAAGAACAAGGGCGATAAGACCGGCGTTCGCCTCGGTATGGGACCCCACTCCCTTTCGATGTCCCTTCTGTTACTTTGGATCAAGCACTAACAGCTCATTGATAGCCGATCTAAATGGAGAGTATGTTGCGGTGTCATGTTGTGAACAGCCCTTCCTTGTAGGATCGCGGTACTGACTTGTGGTCAATTAGTTTCCGAGACGATTGGATGTGGGTTGGTGATCAGGGAGACGTCGATACGTGGATCAACCAGCGTGGATCAGGCGCTGGTATTGTACGCATGATCCTCATTACCCCTGTATTAGAGATTCTTCAGGTCGTCGAACTAATGAGGACGTATAGGTGCCGAGCTGGTCCGCGTCTGGCATTACGCATGCGGGCATGAACACACCTGGCGTACGCGAGCAGATCAAGTTTGGCCGGATCTACGGCTCGGGTCGACGTGATTACATCTACCTCCAAGAAGAGGATACTTACTATGACATGCTGGTGTGGGAAAATCAAGGAGCAGGAGGGACAAAACTGAAAGGTTTGGAGTGCCACCCCGTTTCATAATGAACCGATTAAGTAACAATCCTGGTTCTCTTTTCTAGGCGATGGGGTTTTCTATTGCGACATGACAGGCAGTGGGAGCGATGATTATGTCTGGATCTACATGGACGGTCACGCCGACTCGACCGACTTCTTTGCGAACATTCATTCCCCGCCAGACTGGGGCCATAGCATCTCCATCACGCTGTCAGTCCCAGGGCCGCGTGTGGGCATCCACTTGGCGGATTTTGACGGTGATGGAAGATGCGACGTGCTTGTGCAGAACAAAGCCACGGGAGCTCTGACTTTGTGGCGTAACGATGTATGTAACATCCACAGGAGACACTCCTTAACCCTTTTCAGCCCGTCCCCAGCCTTCTCAGCACGTGCCAGTGCTGGCTCACGAGATGAAGTCTTTACGTAACATAACGAATGGAGCAAGTGCTAACTCACAACAATAAAGTACGATGCAACCGCCAAGTTGCTCAAGTTTAGCAACCAGGGAGTGAAGTCGGGGAGTGCTAGCTGCACCCAGGGATGGGGCGTTGGCATCTTCGACCGTGGTATGCGGATTGCCGATATTGAGTATGAACAGCCACCACCATCCGTCTTGGATCTATGGCTAACGGCATTCTAGTGGCGATGGTCGTGCGGATATCCTCTGCTTGGAGCCTGATGGACGAATAACGGCTTGGCTGAATACAGCCACGGGGCTCCAAAATGTTGGCCAGGTCAAGTTCAGTGAGGGTTGGGACAGGGCCAATATACGCTTTGCTGATGTGGAGGCTTCGGGCCGGGCCGACCTCATCCACGTTGACAAGTACACAGGTGCCGCAACATTATTCAAGAATGACGGGTACCAGCCCAACGACGTTGACGCAAATGGAGGGAGCTCGTTCCACTGGACTAACCGTGGTGTTGTGTATTCACCAATAGACCGCGGGGAGAATATGGTATGTGATGTATCCATGTGCATATTACCACTACCGTTCAGAGTTAACAATTTTCTTTGTAGCACTTTGTGAACTTCGGGGGTCTCGGGCGGGCGGACCTTCATCATGTTTGGCCTGATAAGAACAATGTAAGCCGACCAAAGCACAGGAGCCCTGCTTATTCTCCTCTTGCTAGAGCGAGAGAATCTAACCAAGTGATTGACAGGCCGAGACTTTTTTCAATGAGTGCCCTGGCGGAGGCAGTGGAGGCGATGACGGCCCTATCGGTAAGTTATCATTCTATGTGTAATTACAGCGTATCATGCCTTTGTACTCAACTAACTGACATGTGCTTAGTCGATCCGGGACTCCCAGCCTTGTAAATTATGTAGTAGCTATTTTAGTATTTTGAACCCGCTAATATATAAGATTCCTACTGATCATACATGTGTCAGACGGATACTCTCTTCAGCAAAGCAATCGCGGGAAGAGAGTACGGTTCCGTAATTTACCCTTGTTTGTATTCCACAAATTAATGGAACCTGAGTCTCGCTGTTGGGGGACACCTGCCCCGACGTCCCCAGGGAAGGAAGGACAAGGACAGTAGATCTTATATATAATGGCGTCAGACCCTAGATCTTATGAATATAGGATTTTTGATCCCCAGATGCATGACCCTGTGTTCTATATCGTAGGTTTCACGCCCCGGATCAGCTTCACCTTCGACGTCCACTGTTTGAAGCATGATACTCGCCTTCTCTCTGTTCATTTGTGATCACACGCTTCTGACCCGAGCTATCCAGTACAGTTGTCTGCTGGTTCCATATTCTGAGTTATCCATAGGTAGCTGAGGGCGGATTTTTAAGCACTTAACAACTACTACTCTCGACAACTTGGCATCCAACTTTGTTATTGGCCTCGTTCATGCCAACAGGGGGCCAAGCTACTTGATATCGGAGAGCCGCTCTCTCAAAGTGAAAGTACCGAAGCAAGCAACTCTACCCCACTCAAACAGAACTCGTTCTGATGGTAGTCCTAGCATGCAGTTAGCCTACCACGACAGTTGAATAGGAGCCATATTTGCAAATACTTCCAACAGGTGTTAACGACGGGGTTTCTCCCGATAATGTAACCCTTGACTTTCCTACCTTTTCCAGTGGTTTTCCAGGCTCAACCTGATTTCGGGGTCGTTTGCAGTGATATTCGACGCCGGTATCAACAGAACTGAATTCATCCTAGAATATTTGAACCTTTACGCTCTAAAATGTCTTTGCGGATACGGCTGTCTCAATGTCAAAGTAGCGCTGCGAAAGCGCTTCTCCTTAGATTGAGTCCATATCAGCAAAAATACACTCGCATGCCGTTGTTCTAATTCGCCGCACCTACATAAGCAGTTACTATAGAAATCCGTATGATTTCGTTGCTACTAGTGGCATAGGGGACACTGCGCATTTCGTATGCAGCAGCGCACTTGACAAACTTGTTCTTGAGTCCCAAGATAACGCCTTAGGTGAACAGGGAGCACGGCTTATTCAGCTTGTTTTTGGCATTTCAACGTCTATGGCATTCACACGAGCTCCTAAAACAGCGAACAAACCCATTCAACTACAGCTACAGACCCAGCACAGGTCCCAGCACAGGTATTTCACCCACCATTTTTACTCATATTGCTTATTCGTATATCGACTCTAGCGTTTGGCGCATAATACGCTGGAGGGTTGACTGTCGCACTTGCCATACCTTTAGATGGCGACAATCTCAATTCGCCTCTCTCATTTTCGTCATCAATGTCACCTAGAACTTCAAGAACTTTGATCAAATGTTGCGAAGAATTTGAGTTTCTATGTAAATCATATCGCCAAAGAGCTTCATTTAAAAGGAATCAAAACTTAAGAACAGCCTTTCCCATGTTATTTCCATGAAAGATTCCAACTAGACCCTCCGCTGCATTCTCAATACCCTCTGTGTCGTGAGTAAGAGCCTTGAATGACCCATCTTTGATCCAATGCTGAAGACGATCCTGATGTTCCTTGGTGTACTTATCGCCCATACCAGCATCGCCAACAATAAAGCCTCGCATTGTCAGACGTTTAAACAGCACATTGCTAATATTTTTGATGGGGTATGGCGCGGCGTTATATTGTGAGATCATGCCACAGACAACAACGCGACCAAAATCCTTCAGCGCGTCGAGGGCCGCTTCCAAGTGTTCACCCCCAACATTCTCGTAGTAAATATCGATTCCGTCTGGCGCAAGCCGAGCCAATGCGTCTGCGGGCTTTTCTTTCTTGTAGTTGAAACCACCGTCGAATTTGAGCTCGCGGATGATATAATCGAGCTTCTCGTCGGATCCGACGCTCCCAATGACTTTCAACCCCTCATGTTTGGCCAGCTGACCCACCAATTGACCAACAGCACCACTAGCAGCAGAAACGAATATTGTCTCTCCCTTCTGTGGCTTTCCAATCTCAAATAAAGACGAGTAGGCAGTAAGGCCTGGCATACCGAGAGCCCCTAGAAACACACGGATGTCGTCGATGCCCAGGGGATTCTCAAGCCGTTCAAGTTTCGCCGCTTGACCGCCATCCAAGGTGTGAAATTCTTGAACAGGGAGGTGACCAATTACTAAATCTCCTTCCCGAAAACCCGAATGTTTGGAACGAAGGACTTTGGCGATGGTTGCACTGTCGATTGGCTGGTTGAGTGCATAGGCCGGCGTATATGATTTGACTTCTGCAGGTCGCATACGAGGGCGCATGTAAGGGTCAAAGCTACTATAAAGTGATTTTAGGACAAGGCCATTTGGAGGCGCTGCATCTTTCGCATCGCCGCCCACTGGCTCAACAACAAGATGTTCCCCAGGAACAGGGAAGCCCGAGGGGACTTTCTTGAAAACAAGAGCTTTATTCGTCATCTTCAAAGGTTGTAGAGAGTAAAGGATATTAGGTTAGAATCGAGTTGGAAAGTGAATGACAACCAAGATGTCCTGCCAGACAGTTATAAGTTGTTATTTCAGCCGTTCGGACTTTAATGGATCCCATTCCAGCCGTTCGGATTTTAATGAATTGGTATTTTGATCCATTGGAAATTACAAATCAGAAACAATCCAGTGGCATCAGTTGTGTCTAAATAGGCCCTAATTTCTAATACCAATATTATTAGAAAGCCATCAAGAGCCACCGATGAATTCCGACGGAGATTGCCTTATGGATGGATGATGTAATAAGCGAGATCAATTCCTTCAATTTTTTTTTAGAACGCACACTTCAGCCAATGACAATGATTTCTCAACTTAATGCATTTACTCATATCATTGAAGAATTAAATATACCTTCGATTATACCTTGATCATGGCCCCCTGTTACACAAAGCTCTCATCACAATTTAATCGGTTCATTTTCCCCTTGAGATGCATCCATCATGACAGACGGACATGTTACTACAGGACTAGATTTTCAAAGAGCCTAAGTTATCGCCGAAGCTAAATTGAATGTATATCCGAAATTACTAGTACTGCGTTTAAAGCCATTGTACTACGAAATAAAAGACTGATAGTGGCGACACTCGAAATTATATACAAAACGTGACACGTGAAATAACCTCCGCGCAAGTTAGATGAGCTGGTAGCAAATGTTTTTTTTTTTTGCTGCTTTGAAATATAATCTCAATAGAATGAAGTGTCTCGAAGATGGCGAGAGTTTGACCCACACGAACACGATTCGTAAATCTACACTATCATTGGGCAGAAAAAGCCTTACAGGGCTAGGAATCAGAGCTGAACTTTACATAATTTCCATTACACCAAAAGTGCTATCTAATCCTATTAAGTAACACATAACCTTTTGCTAATAGAGAAACATTAGCTTATTCTATACTAGCAACAGTGCTTAGTAAATGCTCAGCCAGGCAAACAGAATTCCGACGGAGGAAAGTTAGCGCTGTATTACTCGGCAGCCGACACCTTTCGTGGGACTTTGGCAAAGGTTAGAGCTGAATATTCACTAGGTGGGCCTAATTTATTATATTATATGAAAGATCAAGAAAATTTCAGTTACCAAATCTTTGCTTTACAATATGCACAGCTATAACATAGTTCATATTTACAGATTGGCTCGGGAAATCATTGTAGATAAGCTAGTGAAAACGTTTACTCGCGGAACCTGCATTGAAGAATTAGTACCAGCTGTTATAATTATAGATTGTGGAATAAGTTCTTGTACAGGCTGGCAACTAGAATGCGAAACTTTGCAGACTCGGAAGTGTTCCGTCGGAAGGGGTCTCCGCGTGGCAGAAAGCTCCCGTGCGAAAGAGAGGGGGATTAGCACTAGGAGATGATCTAGGCCGATTCTAAACTTCAAATGGGCGTGAGCGTAATTTATACGTCACTTTCTAGCTCTTTATTCTCTCCATGCGTGAATCTATTTGCGAATCTGCCACTCTATCTTACCTATTCGGATCTCACCATTGGTGTAAATCGGATTGCCCGGCAGCCAGGCTTGGTCAACTAACCCTCCAGAGTGCCAGGTAGTGAAGTTAGAACACATCCCCTCACTTTCGCAGCCTCCTACACGCATTTCAGTATCTTGTCAGGCCAACAGCCATAAGTATAAATGCGGACTGTCCCAACAGGAATTAACACATAGCATCTTTATTGTTTCAGCAGAAAGGGCAATAGCTTCTCAGCAACAATTACTTATTCATAATGGCTTCATCAGATCGCAAACCTGTTCGAGACACAGCTGAGGCTGATGCTTGGTTCCCCTCCCCTTATTCTCTTACACAATACACCGCACCTAAGACAGATTTTGATGGCGCAAACTACCCCAACGCATACAAGGGCGGCAAATGGAAGGTGCTCTTGATTGCGACGCAGGAGCGTTATCTCAAGATGGCAAACGGGGAGTTTTTTTCGACAGGCAATCACCCTGTGGAGATGCTTTTGCCAATGATCCATCTTGACGCTGCGGGTTTCGACATTGATATTGCCACGCTTTCAGGTGACCCTGTTAAATTGGAGATGTGGGCTTTCCCAAATGAGGACGAGTCGGTCAAAGCTATCTACGAGAAATACAAGGAAAAAATTCGCAGCCCACTCAATCTTCACAACGTATGGGGCAACGGGTTTACCAACGACACTCCCTACCTTGCTGTATTTATTCCTGGTGGCCATGGTGTGCTGAACGGTATTCCTTTCTCGGAGACTGTTGGAAATGTTCTTCGATGGGCTCATGAAAACAAACGCTATTTCATCACACTCTGCCACGGGCCAGCCAGCATGCTCGCTGCCGATGTTGGAAAGCCTGAGGGTAGCAAGTTTATCTACGACGGCTACCAAATTGACGTTTTCCCAGATACGTTGGACGATCAGGCAAATGTCGAAATTGGCTATATTCCGGGCAAGATGGAATGGTATGTCGGCGAGCGGCTCCGCAAGCTTGGTATCACGCCACTCAATAGAGGCATCGACGGCGCTGTTTATCGCGATAGACTTGTGCTGTCTGGTGATTCTCCGTTGGCATCGAATAATCTTGGAAAGTTGGCTGCCAAGACACTTCTTGAGGAGGTCGCTTAGCTCTTATAGTCTTCTCCTCCATATCCTCCCCAACAAGGAGCAGGAGGGGAGTGCATACAAGGGTGAAAAGAGATTACTTAGGCAGATACATAGGCAATAACAATGACAGATGAGAATGCGAGTACTGGCGTAAACTCCCGGTTTCTTCTACTTTGAATCAAAGTCTCTGTTACATGCTATTCAATCATTGGTGTTGCAACTTGATACCTTGAAATATTGGCTTTTCTCGTCTTGTGAACTACTCGCTACGCCAATTTAATTACTAATTGACAGCATGGAAACATTAACTTGGTTGCATCAGTTTCTGGCATGCATGTGTTTGGGAATCCCATCATCAAATATAGAGCTCAACTAATTATTCTGCATTGGACACGGAGCGAGCGCTGATATTGTTGCGAATGGAGGCTATAACGCGATTACAAATTCCAGTTAACCATATGTCAGATGTCTAGTCATACTTAGCAGTCTTTCAATGCTCTGAATCCTCATTCCAAAACATGAAAGTGAGAGACGGCATGTGATTTGATTTCGAGCCATTGGTCGCAGTTACTATAGGCCTGGAGCGTCTTTACTTGAACATAATTCCCAAGCATAGCGATCTCATATAGAATTCTAGTTATATGCATGCGCGAAAGATTTCAAGATGTGTGGCCCTGACTAACCGCTAATTATGACGTGGCCCTAAGGCGGGGTTATATGTATGCACGTTCACTCTAAGATTCCGATGGAGAATGTATCAGATTCACTGCTTGGCTCTAAGTTGGCAAACCTGAAAGTTGCGCATCTCCGTCGGAAGGCTTCTGATCAACATGATTACGCCCCGGAAGCGACGGAAAGTCTCCGTAGCCTGTCAAAGGTGTCGCGAGCGAAAACTCGGCGTATGTTGTGTTTTCTTTTATGTTACTTCATGTAAGCCCGATCTTTTCAGCTGGATATTGACAACTTTGTAGTGCGACGCAGACAGACCGTGTCAATTATGTGCTCGGGCAGGCGTCGAGTGCGTTCCTCGAAATGTCGGGAGAATAGATGCGTTAACACCGGCTGGAAGGGTCAGCGATTATCATAGAAATGATCAGGCTAGTCAGCTAGGCTCAGACGATACAGTCATTGTCCCGGAGTCAAACATTATAAACTTAAGCACAATGGTAGGATATGATCTCGACAAATCACGGTGAGATACTGAGGGGTTTACAGATGTTCGTCGAAACAGGTTCTAACCAGTATCTGAAACATGACACATCTGCCTTGCCTGGTGGTGCCAAGCCAATGGGTCCTAATCACCCAATTTCTGGAAGTTGGCGGGATCTAGTTAGGGTAGAGCTGCCTTCAGACGATGTACTTGATGTCATTGTGAAACGCTTCTTTCTCTCTGTTGATTGGTTCATGATGGTAAGGCTGTTTCTGTTACATATATCCTTTTGTCCTCTAGATCTGATCTTGGATCCTAGGTCTTTCATGAAGAATCGTTCAAACGCAGATATGAAGAGTTCCTCCATCAACAGTCAACATATCACGATAGCGATTTTCTTTGGATATGTATGCTTGTAATAGCACTTGGAGCTCACTACTTGACATTGTCGCCGTCTTCAAACCAAAACACCGTCAACTACCGAAAACTTTCGAAAGACCTCCTAGCGAAGATCGAAATTCGTTTCCTACAAATAATCAGCTCCTCTACATTAGAGACGGTTCAAATATGCATCTTACTCGGTAGCTTTCTCCTGTTCAATGGCCGACCCAATGCTGGATTAGGCATTTCGGGTAGCGGCGTAAAAATTGCTCAGGTTATGGGACTACATCGCGAGAGATTATGGAAAGAACTTTCGCCAGCTAAACGAGAAGAGAGAAGACGGACTTGGTGGGCATTGGAAGTATTCGACAAGTAAGCTATAGCCTCACCCATCCTCATTTCAATTGCCATACCTACTTAACTTACTTGACGCTGATGACTGCCAACTAGATACGCAGCTATTGCCTTTGGTCGTCCATGCATTATTGACGACTCTGATTGCGATGTCGGTATGGTTTCCGATATACAGTCAGGCCAGCAGATCAGCGGCAAAAATTCTCTCCTCGTGTATCATCAATGGAAATTCCAACTTTATAGAATAATGGGACTATTCCTCGGACGAAGAAGGCAGCAAAAACAAGTTGAAACCGTTTATACCATTCATCAACAACTACTTCAGTGGCGGAAAGATCTACCCGAATGTCTTCAATTACAAAGCTATGATCAAAACTCAGAACAAATATCCATACTCCAGATGCAGGCACTGAATCTTCAGCTTACATACGATAATCTGCAAATCATTCTCCATCGCACCGCGGCCTTTCAATACAATGATAAAGAATGCAAATTTACATCATCCAGTACAGGAAATAGCCCCTCTCTGCAACAGCTCTTCGATTCTGCGATGGATATTTCCGAGCTATATAAATACTCATCCACTTTGCACGCTTCTAGACGAACACACGCTGACATGCATATTGGAATCACACTTTTTACAGCTGGAGTGGTGCTCTGCGCTATATGCCTCTCTCACCCAATGACAACAATGGTCTCCAGGGCAAAAACGGGAGTCATGCACATTATTCGCATGTGCCGTAATGCCTCTTCCTCGAATCAGCATCTTGTTTCCACGCAGAGTCTCTCCATTTTGGACAGCCTTGTTACCGTAGTATTACGGTTGGAAACTGACATGATAACTGGAAGGACTAACTATCCCACTGTAACAAACGCCGATCAACATGGGCCTTCCCTACTGATTCAAGATATTATGCCGTCCATTGGGGCATCTATCTCCAGCGGCGATGCAGCAAATTTGCGACATAATTCTACCAGTGGTGAGAGTCTACTGCAGCCAATTCGAGAAGGTAAGGTAAATATGTTGGGATTTCGTACAGAACTAATCGAAGCACTGTGCAGTTTTCGGTCATCACATTTCTCGATTGACACCTTTATCGTCCGCATCTCGAGATAGAGTAGAAAGCCATGAAGCTATCGAAGAGATATCGCAACAAGCAGCATTAGAAGCAGCAAATACATTCGAATGGGACGGAGACCTGTCATTCTTGGTGGATTCGAACCTTTTGGATGCAAGTCAGCTATGGCTGTGGGCGGATAACTTGAATTATGACTCATTCAACGAAATTCACGATCAAGAGTCTTAATGATTCTTTCCAGGTCCGCTTTTTCTAGGCATGAGTCAAATCAAGCCCGGTTGTTTAATGCTTTCCATTGCCAGTATACGTTTTCTGTAGTGAAAACAATGATTGAGCTAGGGGAGGGGAGCAGGAGTCGGTGGCAACTTCATAGCGTGAGAGATTGAGAGTCGACTTTCGCTGGGCAAATGTCAAGCTTATATAAACAATTGACACTTGTGAAGACGGATGAACGAACTAAATAAACAGACAATTTTGTTGCAGTCTCAAGAAGAGGCTAAATGTAGATGAAAGACTTTAACGTTCTATTAAGCCTAATTCAACTCCAATACTCCTCTTGCTACCATGATTTTCGGGCCTGCTCGCGCAGGGTGTAGAGTAACGCCGGCACATTTCGCCTGTCCACTAACTCTTCAGGTTCGACGGCAGCAATGATGCCGCTGCATCTCTCATAGGCTTCATCAAGCAGTCAGCAACTGCTCATAGAAACCTGCAAGCTGATTTTGTTCATCTCTTAGATGTATCTCAAGAATCCAATGCCTTTTTTGCCCATCTTTACCTAAAGAGGACATCGATGCCGAATTTCCTTCAGTGATGTATAGAGTTGTCTTATCGCGAGGTATACGTTCATGTGGAAATGAACCAATGAGATGCCCTGCTAAATGGGCGCCAAACGTCCATCCATTCTCCTCAGCAGTCTCTACTGCGATTCGATAAAGTTGTTCTCCCGTCATATCAGGATTCGTTAAAAATTGAGCTCGAACAGATTTCCAAATAGGCTCCAAAGCATCCCGGATTTTAAGCTTATTAGGATCATTCCCAAGAACGTACGTGCGTCCAAAATCTGCTTCCCATGACTCAAATACCGGGCCGAGGTCTATAACCAGTATATCGTCTTCTTTTATAACACGATCAGGGGGGTTGTCTTCGAAAGGTCGCAGGGCATTCGGTCCGCTTCTTACTACTCGTTTATGCCAGTGCGTTCTAATTCCAAAACGAGTATTACCGAGTTGATGGATCTCATCGCTTAATGTCTTTTCACTGATTCCAGAGCGAATTAGGCTCTGTTCAATTTCGTCGAAAAATTGAATGGCTTTGGTCTGAGCATCTAGAAGATAAATTGCTCGTTCGGAGCTGTCGTACGCCACGTTAGACATGGTGAATGGAAGCTCTAAAGTGATAGCTGATAATCAGGAATATTGAGGGAAATAAAATTGAGAGCCCTAGTGTAACTAGTGCTTTATATTCCAAAGGCCATAACCTCTTGCAGGGTAAAATTGTGAATTGTTCGTATTCCGCTAGCTATGCCAAGTAATTGTTTAGCTGATTGAAGCGAATAGCGGACGGGTCTTCCTTAAAATCCACAGTCTAATTTCTACTTTTGGTTCGGAAAACAACTGAAAGTGTATTTATAATCAGCATGCGGGGTTTACTCCTCTGCTGGCGGTGTAGCATAAACAATAGAGCAATAGGAAAATACCTAGCTAGATGTAATTGTGTTTGCAAGACTATTAGATGATATTGTGGAACATTCTATATTCCGATCGCGCAACTTCATGGAGTACTGGCTTTGAAAGTTTGATTGTGCTTTTCTATATTTCCCGTTTCTTTTCGTATGTTCTGTTAATCCACGCTACGCATAAGCACAACTCGACAAGCTATAGACCAAGACTGATATACTATGCTCGTGAGATCACAAGCACCACTGAACCGGTTACGCAGGCTTCGTTTTCGATGGCGAGTGAAGGAAACGCGGCGCGAAGATGCCGTGAGACCATTGGTTTGATGCTCAGTCATCCAAGCTCAGGGCCTCTCACCTAGTATCGGGGTGTATTGTTTTGTCCCCAATTGTTTTCGGCATGCGTCAGTTTGAATTGCGAACTGTCCATTGGATCCTTCAGCCTCTAAAGGCGTCTGACATACGTGTACTTTGCAGAGCTTAGATCCCCGAAGCTATGACCTGGGACGAAAAGATTGGCTGTCTCTCAGGCCTCTACGCTATACACTAGCTTAGGTTCTAAATTGGCGGAATGAGGAGGCTTACACGCAGCATGAGCGGAATTCTCACTAGCTGCCAGCTCCCAGGCTTTGGCAAGTCAGTTGAGCTCAGTATATCTTTCTTCTATCCCATTAACATGAGCGCGTCTTTCGACAATGTTTTGGCATAAAATATGAGCACAAGTATATGTTCTGATGAGGATCATTTCTAAGATTATACATGTGCGGGGTTTGACTTCTAGGCTCGCATTGGAGAAGAGGGATGAAGGCGCCAAGTGAGGATTTCCGACGGGTGAAGAATTATGCCTCCATTTCGTGGTCGATATACAAGGTGGCATTGATCTAGGTGTCTTGAAAACATCAACTCCTTGCAGGCACTATGCTAGCTACAATTTTGAACAGAACCAATGCAACAACAACATGATACTTCGTGCCCGGGAACAGGCCGACTACTTCATACCGCTTTTCAAATATATGCTCGAGGCGCAAAGGCCGAGACTATCGTGTGCCCGTACATCGCTGTAAACGACATTCCCTTCCTGATCAACGAGCATCGGGTTTTACGAGAGCAGTGGGGTTGGAAGGGCGCTTGGAACCTAGCGGTTTCTAACAGTGAGCAGTAGGCGACGTATTCGGCCATCATCACTATGCACGATCACCAGAAGATAGTGTTGCTCTCGCATTGAATGCCGGCACAGGTCTCAATTGAAGAAGTGTCAGGTCGCCTCGCTGAGAAGTGCGGTCACTCAGGGGCTCAACTGTGAGGCTACTGTTATAGCTTCAGTCACTCGATTGGCGTCATCAATACTATGGATAGGATAGCTTCACTCTATCCAAGAGTAAGCTTCACTCTGTTAGGCTAACTTCAATGACAAAGAAGCCTAGGACTTGGCATTGAAGTAGACCTATGGAGGTTTTATTACCCGCACGACGGTACTTTTAGCAGCCAAGGTAGTTTAAATAAAACATCTGTAGCATACAGTAGAAGCCCATTGTAGCTGACTAGCATTAGTATGAGACCACATTTTGTTTAAATCGAAGATGCCATTTATACGTGTATATAATAAGCTGGTAACTGTAAAGAATGTAGCTAGTCTTTACTTCAATAGTATTATGGAATCCTACTGAGTTCCAACCCCACTTTTGAGCAAATAATACAATCGGCTAATAGCGAATTTATAAAAATAGGTAGTGGGGTATTGTATATTATATAAATCACGATATAATTCCCTCAATACCAGTATTCATCTGCCAACCACATGGAAAAAGCCTGTTTTCATACTACTGCTTATAATGTCTACTGATATTTCACTCCAAGGTTAGATCCTTCTATCTCCCAAGGCTCTTGTGTGCTTATCGTAAGGCTTTAGACTACCTTGCTATCCGCAATGTTGCTTTTGAATGGGCGGAAAGCTATGATACCAAAGACTGGGATCGTCTGCAAAAATGCCTTGCCTCCTCGATCCGATTGGACTTTCGAAGCCTTCAAGGGGCTTTGCATGAAAATCTGTCTCCGGAGGAGTACTCGGCTATACTTATTGGCATGATAGGGGACAAGCGATTAAAGACTCAGCATCTTCTAGGTGGATCTCAATGGGAGCGTTTGAGCGACGGCACAGTCAGAGTCGCGTATCAAATCCGGGTAGCCCATCAACGATACGTGGACGAGTCTCTACAGAAAGTGGCAAACAAAGGGCATGGTCACGGAGTTACAACGCATTGGTATAGAAAGATTGACGAAGCCTGGAAGTTAGAAGGTGTCGCACCTAGGCTTGAATGGGACGAATACGATATATTTGGGACTCTTGCTCCACCTCAGGACGAGGCGATTTACGAGGTCTAACATAATATTGTTGTACCAAAAGGATATTGATCATCTGGAGAATTGAAAACAAATTTCGTGTTTACCTACCACTCAGTCCATCCTATTACATCATAAACTAGTCACATGCAAGAATACTTGGAGATTTACTTCTCGGACTGAATGAAACTACTTGTTGCATGCTTTTAATTTATTGATATGTCGCTTCACAGCAAGGACAGAGAGACTGATCAAGGCTGGTTACACTGCTGAGAGAACTGACGTATACTAGCATCCTGAAGGTCTCACCTCTCTCTGGAGGCAATGAAGTAAGTCCGGTACTATACATAGGCAACAGCGATTAAAATGATAGGATAAGTAGAATGAAGATGTATCTATGGCTATTGCTTGCCATTGTTTATGCCCTGACACGTAAAAGGCGGTAGATGAGGGTTTGTGAGCCGATACCGTCAAACTACTCAATTCACATAAAGAACGCCTGCCAAACACTAGATTTGGTAAAGCCAGCTTTAACTTCGCTATTCACAATAAAAGAACCGCCATTGGCTTCTAGTAACCAAAACTAAGCATAATCTGCGCGAACTACTTATACAAAAGTGAAGTGTAAGCTGGGAAGCTCCTGATTAGTAAATGTATACAATCATATATTTCATCGTTTACCAATCCTTTTACCGGGGAACCAAGGCTTGATAGCAGTATAAAACTACGCTAGCTAATGCAACATGTTGACTCAACTGTTACAGAAGAATCAACATCTCCATTTTCAGCTTTGGTATACCTGTATCAAGCGATCTGTACACTATTAGTAATAATATTATAAGCCTTCCAAATACGTAAACCAAATCCACAGTAATAGCGAAGAAGCTTTTTTGGAGCTTTCTTTATTGAAGGGGCCGAACAAACCGTAGTTAGGCAAAAGTAGCTTTGCCGTAGAATATCTCGAGTCTGGACAACGCCGTACCATCATCTTGCAAGTCTGATAGTATGGATACGAGCCTTTTAGCCAAACTTTGCGTTTTTCAATAGTTTAGGTACGCCGAACAGCTCTCTATACCATTGGTCTATCCCAGAATGCAGCCCCTGCATCATATCCGCAAAGAACGTCATTGCGGTTAAAAAGGCTAAATGGTCCCTCTTCGGCTGCCTATCCGGCAGGGATCGAACATGTATACAGCATGGCGACCGGATAAATCTGTGAGTTTCCAATTCAAGTGGCCTGAATAAGTGAGGGGCTCAAATGCATTCCAGGGGAATAAAATGGCCAAGTACCAAGCAGCGGTTCGAAAGGAATGGATCTGTTTTGTTGAACCCAGTGAACATCATTAATACCAGGTCGTTTATCAATTCAGTCAAATTAGCTATTGAAATGAAGGCTACGTTTTCCGTTTATTTATCCCTATTGGGTCAAAGCTCAGCATGGAGTTACACCCCCAGCTCCAAATACGCTGCTAACATCAAGATCAATGCTCGTCAAACATACCAAACCATGATTGGGGGCGGCTGCTCCGGAGCTTTTGGGGTCGCATGCCAGCAATTCGGATCTTCAGGCCTATCGCCAGAAAACCAACAGAGAGTTACACAGGTTCTTTTTGATGAAAATATCGGCGGCCTCTCAATCGTGCGAAACGATATTGGCTCATCCCCAGGAACGACCATTCTTCCAACATGCCCGGCAACGCCGCAGGGGAAGTTCAATTACGTTTGGGATGGAAGTGACAACTGCCAATTCAATCTCACAAAAACGGCTCTCAAGTTTAATCCGGAACTTTACGTCTATGCCGATGCTTGGTCTGCCCCTGGTTGCATGAAAACTGTGGGAACAGAGAACCTTGGTGGGCAAATCTGTGGTGTGCGAGGTACCAATTGCGAACATGATTGGCGTCAAGCTTACGCAGATTATCTCGTCCAATATGTCAGATTCTATAAGGAACAAGGCATTGACATCTCGCTTTTGGGTGCCTGGAATGAGCCTGATTTCAACCCTTTTACTTACGAGAGTATGCTATCAGACGGGTTCCAAGCCAAGGATTTCCTAGAGGTTCTATATCCTACGCTTAAAAAAGCTTTCCCAAAAGTAGATGTCAGCTGTTGCGATGCTACCGGCGCACGCCAAGAGAGAAACATTCTTTATGAGCTACAGCAAGCGGGTGGTGAAAAATACTTCGATATTGCGGTGTGTACTCACAGACAATCCTGACATACGACAGAAGGTCGGTATATCTTCTAGAACTAACAGCTGTTTGAGACGTGGCACAATTATCAGAGCAACCCTGAGCGCCCATTTAATTCTGGCGGAAAACCGAATATCCAAACCGAATGGGCCGATGTAAGATGGTATTAATCCATTCCGCGATTTTCATCCTACTTACAATGAAATTACAGGGCACGGGTCCATGGAATAGTACCTGGGATTATAGCGGCCAGCTTGCGTAAGTATCCACCAATGCCCTTACCACTCAAAGCAGCACTTGTAATGCTACTGGAATACTAACATGACGGGATGCACTAGTGAGGGCTTTCAATGGGCACTATACATGCATAACGCCTTTGTTAACAGCGATACCTCGGGATACACTCACTGGTGGTGTGTGCAAGACACAACCGGCGATAATGCTCTTATTCGACTTCGCGGTAACAGCTATGAAGTCTCATCTCGGGTTTGGGCCTTTGCCCAATATTTCCGATTCGCCAGACCAGGTGCTGTGCGCGTTGATGCCACAAGTGACGTGGAAAATGTCTACGTTACGGCATATGTGAACAAAAATGGTACAGTCGCTATACCTGTTATCAATGCCGCTCATTTCCCGTATGATTTGACCATCGATTTGGAGGGAATTAAAAAGAGAAAGCTGAGCGAGTATTTAACCGACAATACTCATAATGTCACTTTACAGAGCCGGTACAAAATTAGCGGCAGCAGTCTCAAGGTGACAGTCGAGCCTAGAGCCATGAAGACATTCTGGCTCGAGTAGAGTAGCAGGTAGAGCCAACAAAAGGCAGCAGGCGCAAAGACAGAATTTGCTGAAAAAAATAAACATACATCTAATATTGTGCTACGACTGAATTTACATGGAAAAATTAATAATTGATCAATGAAATAATGTCGAGCGGCTTTGTTGCCAATGCTGTTCATAAATTATGTACTCGTACATGGATATTTTTCACATGATAGAAATCCAGATCGAAACTGACATCCATCTCTTGAGTCACTCGCTGCATTTCAATCTTAGCATCTAAAACACTAATCCATAAACGTCAACAGAGAAGATCATCATGTTACGCGAAGCAAATAAAAGGCTGCGTTGCCGAATTCGGCCACGAATATGTATCGATCATTTCCAAGCGCCGACGCTCTGCTTCATGCCGAGAACAAGTGCTCCGCTACTACGAGGTATTATGCTCTTCGCGTATCATCGATCCCATTTAAGATCCAGATCTGTAGGCGATACCATTGCGGGGAAATGTACAATAAGCTACCCATTCAAATATGCCCTGATTGCTTACGACTATCGCGACTGTAATCGCACAGTCGCTGTGCACAAGATGCCATGCTAAAAAGGACATGTGAATAGTATTAACTAAGTATCTTGGTCGTCCACGGTTGGCCTCACAACTTTTGTCATACAGTTGAGATAGGCTTGGCGGCGGATCGATCAAATCCAATATTGTTACGGATACGGGGGAGAAAATTACACCGGGCCAGATCACACCAGCATACGGGAGAAGCATTTGCACCGTATCTCCCGTAAACACCTACTGGTATTTAGTAAAACACTACGTTAGCAGTTGGGTAGCTGCTACTCAGTGAGCGCCCAGTATCTGCTACCTATTACTGACAGAAAAAAGCAAAACCTGTAGCGCTTCGGTCGCGGGGTAAACAAACTTCCCTTACTCTGTCCAAGTTTCCAATCATGTAGAATGGAAATTAGAAGGCTCTCTTTACTTTTTAGAGCTGGGGAGTGGTTCAGCTTTCTGTGACTCACCGGCGAGTGGCGGAAGCGCCTTTCTGCTACACCAGCTCAACTACTATGAACTCTTTCCTCCACTCCTATTCGTCCTGTTGTTGAGCGAGAGATTATCGACAAGAAGCTAACGCACGCATTAACGCATGGACGTGTATATAACCCGCATCACCACCGTTCTTCAACCTCGCATGCATTACCGTTCAGCTTTTTCTCTCCTTCCTCTTCTACTCATCCTATTTTTGACCATAGCAGTTTGGCAACCAGAATATCTGGTTCTTGAATCATTTCGATGGAAAACAAGGCCCAGGGAATTAAAAATGCAGTCCGAAAGGAATTAGTAGGCACAGAATATGAAGTATCATCGCTGACGCCGCTTTCTGGGGGCACTGCAAATTTTATCTACCTCGCTAGACTCCACAAGCCGCTATCGGGAGGTGTAAACGAAGTGGTACTGAAACATGGAGAAGCATATGTTGCTCAGCACCCTGACTTCAAGCTGGAAATGGTTCGATGTGTTAGTTTCCCCGCATTACAGTAAGACAATGGACGACATTTTGTTGCTAACGCGTGCGAGACGCTCCTTTCCATCAATACAGAACATTGAAGAAGAAGGCCTGCGACTCCTCTCAAAATTTCCAGCCGTCATCTCGTCACCATTTGAGGTTGGAACGCCGAAATTATACCATTTCAACCCTCAAACAAGCACGCAGGTCCAGGAGTATTTGCCAAGCGCAACCAACCTAAAAGCCTATGCTCTTGCTAATTTCCGAGGACGCACTACTACGTCCACCAAACCGCAATGCCTGAAGCTGGGGCAAAGTTTAGGTCGATGGCTGCGGGGATTTCACAGTTGGAGTGATCAGCCTGACAACCAGAGCTTGCATAAGCTATTTGCACAAAACACAGCCATGAGAAATATTAAAAAGGCTATTAATTATGATCAGCTGCTTGGACGACTGAGCATGTTTCCGGCCATCTTGCAAGAGCATGAGGAGACTTTGCAGCAGATTGTAGCCATGGCTACTGCTGAGCTCGGAGACGAGAGCAAGCTGAGTGTTATTCACGGCGATTTTTGGACCGGAAAGTAAGTTGAATGACTAATCGAAGAGAACGCCATCTCGTACGGACATACATTAAGATTATTTTCCAATTTAGCATTTTAATACCGGATGCTCCTCTTGACAGCGACGAAGCTATTCCCATCCGGATTATCGACTGGGAAATGGCACAGGTTGGCGTCCGGGCCGAAGATCTAGGCCAAGCTATCGCTGAGCTGTGGCAGTTGAAACTGTACAAAGACATAGACGCGGCTTTATGGATCATACAAGGTTTTGTGAGCGGATATGGCAAAGTTGATAGCGAGTTCATGTTTCGAGTACTAATCCATGTTGGCGCTCATTTGATATGCATTGGATCGACAACGCCAGGTTGGGGAACGCCAGAACAAGGACAAAATATTGCCAAGGCTGGAAGAGATGTACTGCTCAGTGCGTGGAAAAAGGATGCAGAGGCTTTCCGAGGACATGACCTCCAACATGTTTTAGGGTAGCCTGTAATGAATACTAGGTACAGTTCTGCAAACAAGCGACCCTTCAATACTCAAATACCGCCTTGCTTAAGCACAGTCTATCTAAAAATGGCCTCAAATTGAATTCATCTACCACGTTGAGCAGTATCACATTCTTCTTTCATTGTTTTTTTTTTAAGATATTTCGCGACGAGCCTTGCGCAGCTGTCTATAATCTGCATTTCACACAATCACCCTTCTGCTAGTTTCAACATCGCCAAATCACTTGACTTCTGAATGTTGCTGCCTAAGAATGCGTAGGAAGTAATAGTCACCTACTATTCTCAATACGACAAAACACCGAGGTAGTTAAGCCAAGGGCCACATTTATATCTCGTATTAATGCAGGTAGCAATACAGACAAGGGTACTACTAATCACCCATCATCAAGGGGACCCATTTCGAGTGCCGTAATTGCGTATCAAACCAGCCATTTGGAAATATCTACATACAAGAATCCAGGCTTTCCCAGAGGAAGATAATATATTTTGCGCCATTTCCACCCAATCTGACAAATTCACGACTGCTAATTGATGCTATTAGGTAACACAAATAAACGTCGATAAGAAACGCTATGAAAGCTAGCAGGGACTAGGAGAGTAGTACGTGTAAACGAGAACATATAGATCGTTTATAGGATCCTCTTTTTGTTCGTAGGTTCTAGACGCAGTGAAAGCCTCTTCTACTATAAGTCTCTTCTTGCTGCTTCTATCGTAAAGTCATACAGAACTGCTAAAGGGTTGTGTACCGCGCCTGGACATAACCAACAACTGAAGAAAATAATGTCTAATAGCCTAATCGTTCTTCCCCGCCCTGGGACTACCCGGGCAGACACGCGACAACCGATACGCGCCCCATCCGAAGCCGATTTCACTGCTGTCTTTGGCAAAATACTGCCCGAAGCATCCTACTTGTCCACAAAGAATGGCAGAGCTGCCTTTTACGAGCTGCCGCCCTCGTCTGTCTCACCACCAGACGACGCAACAGCGATTTCCCGAGTGCTGCTACTGCATGGCGTCCAGACACCTGCAATCGGCCTGCAGCCGTTAGCAAAGGCACTGTCGGCGCGTTTTCCACATGCCAAATGCGTGCTGGTTGACTGGTGGGGCCATGGGCTCACAGACACGCCATTTGCGGCGCACAACGCAGCGCTCTTTCACGAGCTGCTGGAATCTTTATTCCTGCATCTTGGATGGGAAAATGCCCATGTAGTTGGCTATTCTTTTGGTGCATCAGTCACTGCAAGTTTTGCGGCTGCAAGGCCAGAGCGCGTCGCGTCTATGGTGCTGGTAGCCCCTGCAGGCTTCATCCGCAAGCAGCTTTTCAACGAGCAACAGAAGGGCTATCTGCGTGGTGGTGAAGGCTTGGAAGAACCGGCAAAAGAGTGGATTTTGGAATTTCTAGAAGGAGGGCAGTTAGTTGTCCCTCAAGATTGGAAAGAGACTGTAGGGAGAGGCGAGGTGGTGGCTGAAGCCGTCCGAGACTGGGAGATGAAGAACCATGAGGGCCATGTTGCGAGCGTGGTAGCCATTTTCAGAGACGGCGGTGTTTTGGATAACAGCACCGAATTCGCCAGAGCGGCCGAGAAGGGCATTAAATATCTATATATTCTTGGAGAGCTCGATGATGTATGCAGTCCCCAAGAGTTATCTGGCATCGGGGTGCAAGACTTTGTTAGCATTCCACAGGTTGGACATGCCGTTGTGCGGGAAAAAGCATCCGAGGTGGCTCAGTCAATCGCAGATTTCTGGCACAAGATATGATAGCCAGTATCTAAGCTTATCTTTGCTTTGTTTCGCTTCTACAGCCGCTCTGTACTCTCTCCTTTCCTTTCATTGATCTTTCATTTTCGAGTAAGGAACTAACACTAACCAATTGGTTGACTCATGCGACCTAGGCTCTACAACCGCTAACTCATTGAGAAGTCAGTGGTCGGCTGCCCCTCCAAGATCGCATTGTATATTTTGAGATTAGCTGTTGAAGTGTTTGTTTAGAGTTTACGCGTTTTATGATAACTACGCGGCATATATAGAGCCTGAGAGTCATTTGACTTTATGTGTGCCGTCTTTATGGGTCGAAAACAAAACTCTACGCCGATAGGAATAGAGAGAGGGGCACGGCATGAAGTGCAAAGCTGGTAACGACGAACATGCATGCAGATAATTTTAGTCATTGATCAACTGTGGTTACTCTTCCTATCCATCCAAAACTATCCAAATAGCTGGTAATCAAGTGTAGGCAGCTCTTTACTGTGATTCATGTACTCTAATAGCCTTGAATCACTTACAGCCCTGGAATTGTTACTTCCACCTTGTTCAACTCCTTCCGCATCATTGCTAATGCTTTGTCTAACTCGGCAACCAAATCGCAGTTCCAAATCTCTCTGATTGGTACATCGATAACTGCTTTCAATTTTTCCAAATCATCTCCAACATCAGGTCTCTGCAGATCTAAAAGTTCTCCTTGCCGACGTCCGTGAATTTGGACAAATTTAGCTCGTGGCATGCGTACACTTTCATATGCACTAAATGCAGGCAGAAGATCGGATGAGGAGTTACAAATGCCAAGGACGTGAGAGAGAATATACGCATCTTCTAATGCCTGACCAGCGCCGGCACCCTGGTGAGGGGCACAAGCATGTGCGCTATCGCCCAAGAGAAGGAGACGGAGCTTTGCAGAGTAGTAAGTCGGAATTTCGGGAGAGAGGTCGAATATACCCCAATGGTCAGTGTTTTCCATCAGCTAAACTTCAAATCAGCAATCTTTACGTTTCACATCACATCGCCTGTGGGATGAAGCATACCGAGAATATCTTCTGACATTCTTGTCCAAATCCCTTATAATCCGCCGCTATAGCTTCCCGTTCCATTCGTTTAATCCAATCTCCTTCCCACGTGCCATTCTTGGTTGTACTAAAAGCAACAACATTCATCACTTCGCCATTTGCTACCGGGAAAGTGAGAACATGGCCGCCTTTGCCGAGAAACATAAATCGGTTCTGGGCCTTCTCCTCCCCAATCGCAGCAATAGCCTTCTCCATGGGTATCAACCCCCGATATGCGTGCTTCCCAGTGAAGGTCGGCTGCGACAGAGGGTTGTCTTTTCCTAATACAAATTCTCGACATACCGATCGAATCCCGTCACATCCAATAACTGCGTCTGCTTCTGAAGTACTGCCATCGGCGAATTTTAGAATCGTTTTCCCTTTGCCCTCATCGCGGGAGATGTCTGTCAGTCTCTTGCCAAACTCGGCAGTATCATGAGGGATAAGTCTGACGAGCTCATCGACAAAATGCGCACGATGGGCAGTGCTATGTCGCTCAGACGCATTTAGCTTGGGAGATATGATATGACTGCCAGTGGGCAAGCCGTGAAGCTCATGTGCGAGTATGAAGTCAAAGTATGTGTCTTCCTTTGACTTCCAGCCCACGCTTGTCGAAATTCGAGCATACGCTTCTCCAATAGCTGGATGTATAAGGCTCATCGCACGGATAGAATTCGCGCCAAAGAAAACGCCAGCTGGAGTGTCTTAGTCTTTCTTCTTTGGAGTGGGGGATAAATATGGCAACATGGGAACACAGCCATCAGTTGATCCCATAAATATCCACTTACCGCCAATCTCAGAGAACTTTGCAGCAGACTCGTAGATCTTGATCTGAATGTGACTATATTGTTGCAAACCAATGGCCAGGGCGAGCCCCCCAATTCCTCCCCCTACAATCGCAATGTGAATTTCTTCTCGCTCAGGTACTGAACCCATTTTTTCCCTTCCAGCAGTGATGCCGAGTATAAAGCGACAGTGTGAATGTGTGTGATTTATGACTGCTACTGTAACAATCTGAGCTCAAATCATCAGCAGTCACACTTCCAAAGGATGGAAAAACTCATACTGCATTACTTTGAAAACTAGGCCTTGCTTTATGCATGCGTGCCAGCAATCCTTCCGGGGAAACACGGGCATGATTCCGTTCTTCGTGCATCCAACGACAGCAATGCCGATACAGCTCTTGCCACTAGACTAGTACTACTACCTACCTAATCCTCCTCTGAACCCTGCACAGGGGTCCCATATGAAGTGGGGCATGGATACAGTGGTGTGGTGTCTTTTCGACGAACAAGAGGCATCTACGAGTACGGATACCTAATGCCCAGTTATAACTGCCTACTACTATTGTTAGTCCGGAACGAAAGGCTGTGCTGTGCTTTATTCAGACGCATCAAGGGCTAGGTAACAAGCCTTACGTGTATGACACAGAATGCCCTCTATATAAGAAACCCCTGAGCTCTTCGCGAGGGCCCTCAATACAGCTGGTAAGGTAAGATACACCTATTTCGTGATATCTGAGCTCATGCTTCGTTGACATGCGCTGTGTTCAACATCGGTACCCACATTGGCATTCCCCTGCATTAGAATATCTTATATTGGGGCATCTACACGCTCGTATGCTACCGGTGCCATGGCTCCTGCAAAGCCTCTAAAATGCTACATTCCGGTAATAATCTAATATCTGGGCCTGTCCCATGACTCCTATCTCAAATACAAGTTGCCGGTATTACGCAGGGCGGCACACCCAAGGTAGTTTGATGTGGGCGAGAGGTATCTCACCTGAATATCGGCCATACCCTCCATGATTTCTGGAAGGATTTGTACATTCAAAGTAAAAACTCTCTTTTACAATGCGTCGTATTCATTACTGCATAAGCTGCAACATCGAGCCTATGGATAATCGTCATTCTATGTACCTCAGCGGCTGCGTTGGAGCTCTACAGAGTATTGGATATTCACACATAGCGGTTATGGATCACGCACCTCAGTTTAGGGACATTAGGTAGATATGAATGCTAATAAGATATTGCAGCTATGAGAAGTATTATGATTAATGATGCAGCGTTCGCATCTAAAGTCTAGTTCTACAACGACTAGAATACTAAAACGTTATAAATACTATTAGTTTAAGGAAAGCAATAGTGAGCCAGGAAGAGTTCAGACACAACAGCTCCAGCGCTGTTGGATAGCAAATTGGCCAGATTTCTCATACCGTTAGCTCAGTTAGTAAGTATAAATAAACTCAGGATGAGCATCTCCTAAATTATCGCCCTCCTCAGTGAGGAGAGCGTTTCTGTTCCCTGCACGTTTCTGCTTGTTTTCGTACCAAAGCCCAGCCACATAAACGCAGATCAGTCCCACTGCCATACACATCAGTGAGAAGGTCGTCCTGAAGCCAGACCAGTAGAACGGAGCGTTCTTGGATTGGAACGACAGCGAAGCAACGAAGCCGCCCCCATTACCCAGACCAATTTCCATGCCCATAGCAAAAGCAGTCTTGTAAGATCCAGAAACATTGTTCAAAAGCAGGATCCACGCTCCAGGTAAAGCGGCAAAGGAGCCAGACGCAATTAGATATAAAGCGCCGTATCGAGCGTTGACCGAGACATGCTCTTGGTTGAGGAGGATGATATAGCCGATAATGGCAATAAAGCAACCAGCCAGTGCAATCCCTGCGCGATGCTTCAGCTTATCGGATATATATGCAAATGATAGAGTGCTAATAGACGCAGATATAAAAATAGGTATCACTAGGGACTGAATCTGCCTTGGCGTGTATGTTGGTTTGAGAACTTGGACAATTGTAGGTGCGAATAAGGTGCACGAGTACACGCTGGAAATAATGCCGATGATTATAAAAGCACTATTCTCATGTCAGTCGGTACAAGTTGTTTTTCTGCGATCCACAATTCATCCTACCTTAGATAAACTTTCCAATCTGTAATACATCTAATGACAGCTTTTCTGTCCAGGATGTCCATGCGGCCAATGATGCCATCTACTCGAATTCGTTCTTCGAGAACAGCTTTTTCATAGGGTTTGAGCCATTTTGCCGTGGCTGGCCAGTTATTTATAAACGGCCAACAAACAAGCGTAAGGGCTATGGTGATCAAACCCTCAATAACGAATATCCATCTCCATCCACTCCACCCGTTAGAGGAGTGAATGCTTGCTACGGCGAACGCCAGAAGCCCACCAAAAGCATTCGATATTGCATTGCCAACATGGAGCATGCTTACACGCCACTGCAATTCGTATCGTGGGTAATATGCTGACAGGAGAAAGATGGAACCCGGAATGAGTCCCGCTTCCAATATTCCAATGACAAGCCGTATTCCGACGAGTCCAGCAAAATTGTGAAGCAGCCCTTGGCAGATGGTGAAGATCCCTGCATGATATGAGTATGGCCAGCTCGTTAATCGGATCGAATTCGTTGCTTACCGAGGATAATGCATTCGCTGCAGAGCACGGTTGCTGGTGTAAATCGCTTAACGAGCCAATTACTTGGAACCTATTCGATGATTGGCATTGTACACTGTAAACTTAGGCCCAGACTTAATTACCTCTGCGAGCATAAGCCCGATGAAAACCACAACTAGAAGAAGTAAGAAGAAAAACGTTAGATAATGTCGTATTGGAATTTATCAATACGGCACATACCAGTTGCAATATTAAATTGGTTGGTCAGAGGATTCATGCCAAGGTCCTTCTCAAGACCCTGGATTCTCGCAGTTCCAATGTTTACTCGATCGATCAATGATATGAACCATAGTACAAAAAGTGGTGGTAGAAGATGTACATCCAGCTTCCAGATGAGCTTACGATACTCCGCATTGGAAAGACAATCAGCCACATCAACAGCACTGGTGGTAGCGGATGCAGGTATCGCGGAGGCTAAGCCCAAAGACTTCTCTGCTGCAACCTCCGCATCCGATTCCGTAGCTGTCATCGGTGTATGTTGCTATGTTGAGTTGACTATATTGCTGTGGCTGGACAGGGTGTGCGTAACTGCGGGAGGTAGATGGAAGAAGAGAAGTTTCTCTGCTGCCTAAGAAGGCTCTTCAACAAAATCC